ACACGCGCGCGCACTGGCCCCTTATAGACACTTTAGGAGGAGTGAGTTTTCGTCCTGGGCCTTAAGGCCCCCGCGCCTGACCCTGAAAGTTCAACAGCCCACCGAACGGTCCCTTTGTGTACGCTCTAACCTAACTCGCTTAGAGAGAGCCGGCCCTGTAAGGCCCTTTTTTTTTTGAAACCGCATCGCCATGGCTGACGCGCGCCATTTTCCACGTACCTGCACACATCCACGGGTCACCATCTCGTTATACGCGGGGCCCACCCAAACAGCAAATATACTTTCTATCCAAATTTCCTCGAGGGCGTAACGCCATCGTCTGACACTTTCCCTTCGTTCCCCATCTTCGCCGAAGGTACGAAAAAAAAAAAAAAAAGAAACTACACTCGAATCACTCAACCATCGCGTTACTATCGACCCTCCTAAAACTTTTTCACCCTGAGAGTTCAACAGTACCACAATACTCCCCTTCCGGCCCCGTCGACCCACTATTACACATGGCAACATTGAGATACGCGTACAAAGGGTAAGAACTCTTCAAGGAATGCAACTCGTATCAGGCCCAAATTAATGCACACTACAGCCGAACAGACTATTCGATAATATTCCTACCATTCCAACGGACCTAACCTTATATATTAAGTGCCATGCACATCCAGCTTTTAAAGATATTACATATGCACTCGGGGTCCCTTGAGTCTCCAACAGTGATTATACCACGAAAGAAATCTATACCAATTTAATTGTTCCTCGGCCGTATCGGCCTGCCTGATGTTTCTTAGCGCTTAACGATATATAAATGCCTCGAGTATACATATAGCGGTGGCTCGCTACGGATGCTTCCGGATCTCTCGTGCGCAATTCCGCGTAGAATACGTGCACACATGTCCGTACGCACGTGCGTAAAATGCAGCTCGGTCGGTAAAGAAGGTCTCGGGCGTTGAACTCGCGCCGACAGCAGGCGAATCGGCGCAGCCCTTTTCCACGGTTGGCTTCTTCTATCGACACGGGATAGCCTGAGATGCAGAGACTGTGAATACGAGTGGAGGGGGAGTTTAGTTGGTATAGAAGCGAGGGAAGGATGGATAGATAGAGACAGAGAAAGAGAGAGAGAGAGAATAAAAGAATAGAGGAGAAAGGTAGTAGAGTGCATGAGATGTAATGTACCGTTGGGACGCCTAGCCTCGAGCAAAAAGGAACGATAGAACCGTGAGCGAAGCAAAGGGTCTCAGCCACGAAACATACCGAGAGACAGAGAGAGAGAGAGAGAGAGAGAGAGAATGATATAAAAAATCCGATGATACGGAGAAAGGGCATCGATCTCCATAGATTTTTACCTCCTACGTGTCTCTACCGGTTATACCGTGATTCCTGTCGGACGCCATGACAGTTTCTGTTCAACGTCACAGACTATATATATATCCAAACCCGCTCAGTCCTAAATACGTCATATTATTTACACGAGCCATGAAATTCATTTAAACAGGACAGTTTACGCTTTTGATATATACAGAGTATACTGTATGCCACAAAATGGTCATAGGATGTGACGTTATCGCTTGTCAATATAATAATCTCCGTCAGGGCTGTGAAAACGTGCTTTTATCTAACTGCGTCAGTAAAGATATACACCGGATAATAATAAACAGTCGTATTGTATGTATTTTCGTCGGTCCCACGAGGAAAATAACACGATTAGACACGCAGGACAGGAAAAACCCATATTTAACGTTAGAGAGAAATCCACAGGAAAAATCATCGATTGACAATTGAAAAAGCATAAGGCAATGTCAGGTGTCTTGCTACGATCCTCACGTATTTTTTCGGTCTGTCACTTTCAACCTATCTCACTCGTGAACCGAGACTGTGCGCGTCCGTTGCAACGCAAGAGTTCACAAGAAAGCATAAAAACGACTAGTCGCGCCACGTGCTTCGAAGAAAAGGTTTTATAGGTCGAGTGTAGAAGGGGCCTCTTCCTTCTTTACATATCTCAAAACACTAACTGCCTACTGTTTACAAACGTCAAGTACCCCTCCGGATGGCGGAGAAAGCTTTTGAGAATTCGAGGGTCTCCCTTTTCTCGGAGGCGTATCTTTTCGAATTACACGTAGAATGCGACTCGAGAAACAAATTAAAATACCTTTATCGACCCGTTACTAACCCTGCTGCGTGTGATCGTCGGAGGTTATGTCACGCTACGTATGTGAATGCACAGGAATCAGAAACATAACCTAAAAAAAATACGTTTTTCCCGTACAACGATTAAATCCGTCATTGTCCGACGGTAAGGAAGATAAAAAATGTCACCCGATCGGTAAAGAAGAGCAAACGAGAGTGCACGGAGACGAAGAGTTTCAAATGAAAGGGGAACAATTAGATTTTATTTTGCTAATATAATAATTGCAGTTCATAATTAGCCTCGGGCACGGCTCGCTCACCGTTCGCGCGTATGCATTATACATTACGCACTGCACTTCTAAGCACACTGCACACGTTTCGACATATATGTATTCGCGTATGACCTGGTTCTCGCGTACTCGGCCTCTCGCTTCCTCTCGCATTCGGCCAGTCGCTCTCACGGCAAAGTCAAAGCGCGACACTACCAGCCATCGCCAGGGCCACAATCACAATCGTCACTGCCGTATGAAACAGCAGCGCAACGTATTTTCGCTGCATATACAGTCTTTAACCTTTGTGGCATAATCGTTGACGATCGACATTTATAAGACTCTTTGCACTGACCTAGTGGGATTTTGCTGACAACAATCCTCCTGATGGCCGCCGGTCGCATTTACCCGTTCGACGCGACCCTTTTCTTACCTTACACGTGTAATTATTTATTTCAATAATCCAACTGACAATTAATTTAATTCATTTCAAAAACATACAAGCTCTACTCGCTACTAGCCAATCCCCATATAACTTATGACGCTGTACCAGGAGAAGAACCAACTGCTCCCTCATACCCCTGACTATTGATGTAACGATCGGTATAATACAGGGTGGCTCGTATGTATAGGGAGAGAATATGGTGAGCTTAGGGTGAGAACTGTATAAGGTGTCCTTCCTTAACGCAAGGGCAACCCTTGGTTCATGAGGGATTTCTGTGTGTATGTGTATATATATACACACATATATAGGTGGTACTGAATACGGTAGAGGGTAATGGATTCCCAAGCGAAAATTCCTATTGAGCCACATGGGGCTGGGTGCCGTAGATATGGTAGAGGCTCGTCTACTATACTTCTAGTTATATTTCTAGTTCTATTTTCAACGGTAGGCGCGCCTGTTGGAACGCCGATAGAGGGAGGAGAAGCGATAGCGAAGTAGAGGGGACTCACCATTTAAATCGCCCAAGGTCCGTGGAATTTAAATCTCAAAGAGGCCACCACGTTTACACTGATTCAAGCGTTTTTCGATGATCCTCACGATCTCGGAATCCCCCTGGTCGTCCAAATCTTCAGTGAAGACGGGCCCGAGCGACGAAGCACTTTTCTTTTCCTTTTCTTACCGAGCAACACTAATTTTCACACGTTTACATGCACGACCGAAACACGAGTTTTCAAAAAAATGTCCATTCGCTTCGTACACGTGCACGCGAAACATACGAGTGATTGTTTATTCGATGAGTGGATACGAGAATTATAAAAATAATATGAAAGACTGTGATACAAAATTAGTATTCTTTAGAGCAAGGCGTGTGTGTGCAAGGCTTATAGACAAAAGCCACTGTTACCCGAGCGAAGAATAGCGTAGTGGTAGGTAGCCGATCGAAGATGTCGAGTAAGGGAGTCTCTCACTCACGCTCCTGTGTCAGGATAAAATTATTACGAGGGAGCGACGAGTTTACAGGACAATTATCCACAATGATTATATTATCGTACGATGGTTTATAATTATAATAAACACAGCACGCGCGAAAACTGTACGTTGACGTTAAACAAAAAAAAAGGTCGTCACAAAACGCGTCCGAGAGTGATGAGGGGGTTGCTGTATGTTTTTAAAAACTAATGGCAGTGAGAGCGAGGCACCTCCCCCGCAGAAGGCTCTCGCGCGACTGACGCGAGCGCGAAGGGCGCATAGGGATTTGGAGAGGGGAGAGAGGTAACGCGCTAATGCAAAGGAGTGGGGAAGAAACGAAGAGATAGGGGAACGAGCGCATGCGCACTGCCCTTGTTTTGGCCCCGCATCGTGACACTAGCTCGGCAGCCACCGCCCGATGCACCCTCTGCAGTGACTCCGTGCACTTCATTCGCATCGTGTCTTCTTTATTTATATCTCTCTCTCTCTCTCTCTCTCTTTATCTCTGATTCTCCCACCCGATTAACGCGCGATATTTTCACAGTGACTCGGTCTCGTGTAGGTGCGCTGACAAGCGTCGAAAGAGAGAAAAAATAAATAAAAACGTATTTGCCCGCCACACTCAGATATAAAGGAAGCAGATGCGAATACCGAATCGGAGGGATATGAAACAGAACCAGAGACTCCTTCCGTCCTTGGAAGAGCATATACGACTAACCGATAAAAATATAGGTGCTAAGCTTCGTAAAGAAGATACGATCATACAAGATAGACAGCTTGGATACACAGTTAAATTTTGCATTGGACGTTGAAGCATGGGAAGGAGCTTGCTAGACAACAAGGGACTTTGAGTCAGCTGCCATGGAGATCGATAACCTTCAAAAGGAGTCCCGGGCATTCTCGTGGCTTTACAGAACCGAGAGAGCAAGTAGAGCCCACTGGCAACACGCTCGCCCTTCTCTTTCTCTTTCTACCGGGACAATAGCCTTTCTATTAAACTCTTACCGCGTTTCGAAAGGGGTAATTCTTTCCGCCCTCGGCGCCCGACCGACCATCTCCGAGTTTGTTTAGAGGTCCTGAATGGTATTCCTTTTTTTAACTGGGGTCTCGCAGTACGAGTAAGAGAGAGGCTGAGATACACGTGTGCATATACATATGTATACATACACGTATAAAAGGAGGATAGAGAGAATACGTAAACGGAAAAGCTTTGAGATTGAAGTTCCCAACCTCGTGGCTACTAAACTTCCTCCATCTCTCGGGTAACACAAACACTATGCCGTTTACTATACGTACGTGGCATCTATACGTGCGCCATATATATATACATACACTATAATACCATAGTAACTATAAGCAGAAATATAACGGTTCTTCCGTGCAAGTAAACGCGATGGCCGTTTCCTTCCACGCTCGCCGATAGACGCTCCTCGACTTTACTGGAATTCATATACCTGCTGAAAGCAAGTAACGCTGCTGCCACCTCTGCTCGTCCTTACCCACCGCCAAGAATACTCGAGCAGATCGCCATATTTGTACAGCCACCACCTGGCCTTCCCGAATCGGCGGAGCTTCGTCAATTGCATCTCTGTTTCTAATGCGGCTTTCGGCGGTCCGACAAAAATACAATTGTCATTCCAGTGGCGCAGCGTCGCCAATATTTTCACGATGCAACGACACAAAGACGTATAAAGTTAACGGCGACGCCTCTGCGATACCGTCTTGACCCGATGCGCATTAACGAAAAGTAAATATACCAAGAGGTATTTCCCAATCTCTCGAGTCTCTTCTAAATTCGTAACGAACCCTCCCCCCCCTTTCGTAAAAAGAAAAACGCAGCGTGTATACGAGAATCGTCTGATTACTTTTTACGCATTCATTTTCTTTCTGCTTCCTTTAGTCCGTCCTCCGTGAAAAGAAAGTCTACGTCACTGTAGCACATAAGACTGCTGGCGAGGAACGGGCTCGAACCAGGAATAGGACAGCCATAAGTGTCCTATTCCTGGAGACGCCACGTTCGCGAGGATCGAGAATTCGAGTGCTCGGCCTGGACGCGTTACGAAATTCCACATATTGCATGCGGGTATAAGAAGAAGCTTCATCCAGAACAATGATACAAGGTGACTCTTTTACATTGCAACAGGCAAGAAGATGTCCCCTCGGACGTAGAATCGCTCTCGCGATTCAAAACAGACTACGTGTCCCACGGCACGTGCCGAGTAGCGTACGAAAAGGGCCGGGATCCCTTTTCCACGTGTAAGCAGCGATACAGGGAGGTTCAAAAGCAATGGACAGTCTAAGAAATGTAGCCAGGAGAAAGGTGCCATGGATTTTCAGGAGACACTTTGAAGAAAAAAAGCATGATGCGTAGAGTAAAATGAATCAGAATTTTCTCAGCGGTTATCTCGGTGGTACAGAAAACATAACCTGCCTGTTTATCAGACCCGCCAAGGTAATCAGAAAGTTTTCAAGAAAATACCAACAGTCTTATCAGTACGGTTTCCTTCTCTTATACTACCTCCACAAATTGTCTCTTATATTTTATCTAAACACCAACGTCTCCTGCCCTGCTGTAGATTTAATTTTATAAGGAAAAGAAAAAAACATAGAGAGGAGACGCATTTACAAGCTACGCATCACTCGGAGTGTGAGAAAGTTTAATGAAAGGAACCCCCGTCTTACGGGTTCGTACAGCCGTGTCGTACAAGGTGCAAGTTCAACGGGCAAGTAAGGTCCGACCTTATCAGATGGCAAGCCACGTGGCCACGGCACGCACCTTGAGTTAACCACGTGGCTCATTCATTCACCAGGACGGGGCTGTATGTATATAACCTGACTGTGAACAGCGGAGCGAGTTCCTTGGCCAATTAGAATAATGCGGAAGCAAGAGTGGGCGGATGTTGGGAATATCCCAGGAACATCGTCCGACTGATGAACATTATTCTAACTGCATACTTATATATATATATAGTGTCGCATTGCATTTATCCGTTCCATCCTATCTATCAAATCGCACCGTGCCGATTCTGACTTTTCGAAGGCACGCATAACGGACGCGCCGTGATAATAGCGAGAAAACTTTTGGTACGGACGTCAGTGAAAACCGACAGGAGTCAGTGACTCTTGGTAGCAGAGAGAACTAAATTTAGAAGCCGAGTCGCGGCGCAGCAGTCGGCGAAACGCTGGAAAACAAGACCAATGACATTGGCAATGTTGGCGGTTCAGGAGGACGTCGTTGATGAATAAATTGAGAATTGACCTGGCCAACCTCGGTTGGACGAAGATGATAGGAGGCTTCGAACTGGGAAAAAGGTTCCTCGTATCCTGGTGGAGAAAGGAAAACAATAATTACTTCACGTGAGCATCATAAAGGTATTGCGTAAGAGGCAATGAAGTTTGAATATCTCTTTGTCCGTTCGTAACGCACTGAGTTGAATGTCCAAGGGGGGCTCGGTCGGTAAAGCAGACTCCTGACGGGTAATATAACCGAGTGGCGTCTAGGTTAGCGAACGGCCAAATATCAGGATTTAAATGTCCAGGGTCGATGTTATTGCGAGATACAGTCCTCTCGGAAACGTATCAAGGCAGACAAGAGAAGCTGCTCCGGCTGGCTCGGCGACTTCTGGTGTATTGAACTCCGGACGGAGGTCATTCAACTTTTAGCTCGCGGCGTCTCCGTGACGTCACATGGTTACTCGCGTCCTCTTCGGGGGGGCTGGCTGTGACGTGGCGCGATCCCATTGGTCAGCCCGAGCCCGCTACCCGACGACGTCACACCGGTCGACGATCGAGTACGTCACAGAGGATAGCGCGACGGCAGCCGACGACGATGACGATCCTGATCCAACTCTTACACGAATACCCACGGATGAGTTCACACGATAAATTCTAGCTCGACGACCCTGCTCTCGTATTCCAGCAATGCTCCGTCAGGATGACAAAAAAAAAGGTTATTGTGAATTTGACGACCTGTCAGAATGATAATTATTCCACCCAGCTCGTAATACAAATCCTGTACCGGGACGTTACCTGTGCGTATACCGTACAATAAAACAGCGAATGTAATAGACAGTAAAGATGGCGTACACGCGAGGTACAGTCTCTGTGGTTTGGCCGCGGTGCATTAAAGTGTGAGAAACGTTAAAGAAAAAAAAAAAAAAAAAGAAAAATACATAAATAGATAAAAAAAAAACGCAGCAAAGTACCGGCGTTACACCTGAGGTGAGCTGCTGCTCCTGGCGCATTAGCCCCGCGCTATAAATAATGATTGCGAATTATTTTTAGCGGACAGTTAGTCCACGAGATAGCCGGAATACGTAGGCGGGGAGGTACGAGGGTACGAGCCATGGGTGACTGGCGAGGTTATGTTTGGCCTGTTGGCTAACCGGCTGCGGATCGCTTTGCTGGCGGCTGCCAGAGTTTGTTGACTCTCGGTTTCAGCACGCCGGCTGACCATGACCTCGGCGAACGATCCGCAAAGTAATGCCGACCAGCAGGACCGATCTTCGGCTTCCATGTGCCCACATACGCATAGGTAACTCCGTAGCGACGGGATGGGATCGCTCGGGATAGCCATTATCGGCAGTCGTTATCATTGAGTCCTAATGCGTAGGAGCACAGGGGTAAAGGAGGGACCTGGATTAAAACAGTAAAGCCGTTAAAGGAGAGAACGTGAGGAACAGCAGATTACAGTACGTTTTAAAAGTTGTATTAAATCGACGTACAGTACCTCAAAATCAGATCCAAAGATACTGTGTAAATTTCACGAAATATACCGACGGCGCTACTCTGTGAGCGTACGATCGACATGCGGGGAAAGGGGTGGTCCTGATTGATCTTCCGAGAGCATCAATTGCAAGGTATTCCAGGACCAGAGAATATCGAGCTGCTGATCGGTGCTTGGATCCTCACTCTGTGCACGTACCAGGCCGAGGGTACAGCCGTACGTGACAGGTGTATCTTTTGATACGTCCTGTACAGGGTCGAGCTCCAATTTCCTGCGCATCCGACCAGGTCGGGAGTCGGCGCACGACTGACAGCCACCATCGTCCACCTACGACTGTTAAACGCGTTTATTTGGTCTCGGGTGTATGAAAGCCATGAGTTTCAAAGAGTTCATTCAAAATATACCTCGGGCGTCTCGAGGCTACGCGTCAATCCCCTAAGGTCGAAGTTCCACGTGGGATTCGTTAGGGGGATGATAACAAGGGACACACCTACGCAATCCACGCACAGTAGGAAATCGCAGAAGATCGATCGCTGCAACGCATCTCGGAGTCGCACGTGACTTAGCGCAGGGTAGCAATGGCGTCAATGGGGCTGGCGGCCCTCTTTTCTCTCAATTTTTTTTCTTCTTCGCCGTCCTTCCGGCAAATAAAAAGGGAAGCTTTCGACTGCTGTTAAATCCTAGCCGTGGGTCACTCTTTGGCCTGGAGTCAATAGAAAATATTGCGATCCATGTATGGTTCAATGTAACCCCTAAGGGTCAAACAAGTATTGTGCACTGAAGAGATACCTAGGCACCAGGTCCAACGTGGATGTACTTTTGTCTGTACCACTTCGGGAGGCTGCGGCATTGTCAGACAGGGGGAAAAAGTCCATAATCAACCAGGGCAAACACTGCTGGTTAACAGTGACGATCATCGACTCTCTGCACTCTAGTCGGGATTCGCATTGCGCAGTTACGAGACTGCAAAACAGTACTGAGTAGAACGGCAGGAAATATACGTTAAAGAAAAAAAAAAGAAGAAAACTGTCAATTGTCTAAGAAAATAAATAACAGTACCAAAGAGAACTGGGTTACTGGTATCGGCGACGGGAAAGAATCGTATTCCGTTCCAAGAGAAGCGACTCCTGCTCGTCCTCGACGTCTTTGAATGAAAATCGTCGGAGACAAGGACGAATGCATCGACGTTTCCTTTCAGTGAAGATATCGAGACGCAGACTGTCGGGCATGGAATATCGAGCGACCCGGCCTCGTTTCTTTGGCTGCTCGTCACCTCGACGGAGCTCTATTTAGAACGGTTCCTCCGTTCGAGCATTGAAAGAAAACTAAAAAATGCCAGGAATACCAGAGACAGTTCCACCCTGAACAACAGATAAAATAAAATAAGGTGGTGGCTACGTGGTAAATTAAATCAATAATAAAATGCGTCCTCGACGAGACACATAAAAGTAACGTCCACTCCGATATGAATGATTCGGTCAAAAGCAATTCGAGGATCAATGACTGAACGTCCAGGTATATAAAGTTGCCTAAGAAAATTCTTACCCTTCGATCGCTCCCTGAGAAATTCCTTCTGGGACGCAGTACCGATCCCCCGGTGAATATAGTATTATAATCCCAGGGGATGGCGAGGAAGGGTGGGCTCGGGCCAATTAGCAATTCAAACGATCTCATTTCAGCCGGTGGTCGCCTCAGCCTCGTGATTGTGCATTCAATTTTCAACCCTTTCAAACGGGAGCCAGAGAGCCAATGGGGTGGGCTTTGAGACAGAGTACCCCAGCCGTACAAGTAGTTTTTATCCGTAGATTCGTATCGGTCTCTGGGTGCACGATTGTTGTTATTGGTACTGTAGTTTTGTGTTTTCTTGTTTTTTCCTTCAGCCAGGCACGCATGCGCTGACGCATGGGCGAGCAATAACAAATTCACCTTGGGCGAGAGAATCGATTCAGGATAACGTTGAGCATCGAACTTTAATCGGTGGTGCCATTAAAATTCGCTACACAGAACTGCCATTGTGTACGATATATGTATAACGTATACGTACGAGTGTAATAGAATGGCCGCTGCACGTTCTGTCTCCTGTACACCGTATATTAATGCGTATGGGCACTGGGCCCATAGAGCTGGATGATGCACTTTTCGTTTCTCTCTTCGGAGAGAGAATTGACTATGGGTTGTTTCCGGAGGGGGGCCCTGACAGACGGACTGCAACTCGGGAACACGCACTCTTCTCCAGGAGTTCGAGTCGACGAATCTTCAGGCGACAATTTGGGTCAACCAAAGGTCGTACGACGAGCGGAGAATCGATATTTCTATAAGTGCGAAGGTGGAAAATAATCTGAATTAAATAAAGCTTAATTTTTTTTCTCTCTTACCGATATTAACTTCAGGACGGTTTGCGTTAATGGTACTGTGAGTACCTACCAATTATATTCCTAGGTATACGAGAAGCTGAACAAACTTATATGACTTGGGCAATGCTGGTTTGCCTGCTGTACTAGTGGAAAACTTGAATTTTCATTACATCATTCCTCTTGAGGTGTTCATCGTTAGTTATTCGTTATTGGCTTGAAACATTATGATACTTGGTATTGCATGGCACTGTGCGTGCGAGCGGCTTGTGTTTCCTGCGATATATTCTTGTGGTGCTTCTTCTTTATGCTGTCTTGAGAGACTCGTGTTATGTTCAGTGTAAGCAAGGAGGATAAATCGTAAGATAGAGTCGCGTTGCATGTCCTTCGAGGAGTCTAGAATTTCCAAGCTTGGCGAATCGACGCGTTAATATTATTTCTATGTCGCTGGGATAGAGTGTATCTGCCTATTATTCACCCCTCCGCGCCTAACAGTGGGACGCCATCGTGGGACGCTAGTACGGCACGTAGTCAGGGAAAAAGAATAATCGAAGGGGCGATGCTGGCGCCATATATCGGGACATGGGAGTACTGTAAAAGATAGAGCGCGTGCTTCTTCTTTTCTTACCCTTGGTAATAGATTGAACTACTTTATCGACGGGAACTATCTGCGAAACCGGGATCTCACGCTCTGGTGTACCGACGTAAATTTTGCGGCAAATTAAAAAACGAAATGGACGATATAGCGTAGGGAACGATGAACCCAGTCAGTATAAATCGCTTAAGGGACGACGCTCCCTTCTTCAAGGCAAGCCACTCTCTTGAGAGATTACGGCATTTTTGCTAGGGCGCTCCTTTGGCTTAAGTGGCGAATGTTGCGTTCCTTTTGCAAGGTAACTCTCTCTGCTACTTTAAGATGCAGGCTAATCTGCATTTGATAGCGCAACGACTTATGTGAAATAAAGAATGTTTTGTCGCTTACCATTGGAAGGCATTAAAATGGAAGTATACGAGTCCTTGACCGTAGAGGAACGAGGCATCTTTCCAGTAATCTCCCTTCAGAGCGTAGAATTTTTGATACGCCGACATTGCTGTAAACCAATAAATCAAATGCATTAGTGCATCGAATAAAGCAAGATGTGCTCTTAGAGATATAGTTCATTTTATAATTCTTCTTGTACCTTTGCTATAGTCCTCAAGCAGCAAATGAAAATGACCCAGTTTACAGTAAGTTTTTGGATCAATGCTAATCCCTTTGTCCTCGTCGTCATCTTTGGACTCCTCTATACTCTCTTTAGTACTATCAGCCTTCCTACGCTGTTTTTCAGACTGTGCCTGTACCAGCATTCTTTCTAGGTACTTGATAGCTCGAACTACCAGAGCCTTCTTTTTAGACTGCTCTGGGGAGTTCAATTTCAGGAAGCCAAACTGCCGGCTGTAATGAAAAAAAAAGACAAAATTCCTTTAAATATTCCAACACACATTATCATTGCACGCAACTGATATTACTCAACATATTGATAGATAAAGATATGTTGCTAAGAGATTTACAGTCTAGTAGCGACACAAAATTAATCGTGGCACCAAAAACAATGCCTAACAAAAACTACTCTTCGTCTGACAGATCTAACAACAAGAAAGTCTCATAAAGTTCCATGATCCAATAGAATTCCCCAATCTTCTTCAATGATCCGGTTTAAAGTAGAACAAGTGAAAATGATGTCAGTAGGTTGCACGCGAAACACACAACATATCTCGAATTGCCCGCTCATTCTGTCAAACCTTGATTAAGAGGTTATATCTCCGGAAATACAAGTCTATGAATAATACAATTTAGGAAACAAAAACTGCAATTATTCCCACGAACAAACAGGAAATAATAACTGATCAAGCTCTACCTGTCCAGCTCGGAAAGTATTTGCAATTCCTGGGGAGTCAAGTTGATATCGTCAGTTTCCTGGGCCATTTTCCCGCACTGCTCCCGCTGACTCTCAGCGCCACTCTCAATACCGTCTTATCGCATGTCTGCCGATATCCGCACCATCCCGTCGAGTTACTCTCGCCGAAGACGTACTTCGCGACAATTATCACTTCATGGGAAAGTGGGTATTTTCCCGGCGGCTAACAGGTTAAACTAGGACAGCGAGGAAGCACGCGACGACACACCATTTTCACGGACAAACTACTTGGCAGGCGCTACCAGCCGTTACGTGACTGTAGCCGTTAGGTTACGTAGACGGGATCTTCATTGTCATATTGTCTACTCTACCGTCCTTACAATGGTTCACAATGATATTATCTACTGGTAAAAATTAGTAGTATTATAGATTGTATAATAAATAATAAGATATCGTTTTGAAAGGATTAGGATGTTTTAGTACTTTTTGATAATGTTGGATGTTTTAAGAAATTTGTTTTGGAAAATTAAATGTTTTATGTTTACACAAAGAGAAAACATTGTTAATAGTGGTATTTAGATAAGATTTTTTCACTTTGTTATGCTTTGTTGAAAAAAATATATATTTGAACTGTTGATGATGATAATTGTTTTGTAAGATTTTTTGATGAGCTTTAAACAAGATATATCTCAATTTGTAAAATTCATTGATTGATATAATAATAACAGTGGCTTACGTCAAATTTGATTAAAGAATAACCATGTTTAGCGAAGCTTGAGCTAAACATTGCGTGGAACAGAAGTAACAATCGAGTGGAACAATGCAATCACCCGATGTTCTAATACTAGCTGCAATATCGTTTAGATTGAATGGTACTGGCCTGCGTAAATAAGAATCAAAAAAAGCAGAACCACATACACAGTACTGTGCTTCATCAAGATATTTTACCAATGTATATGGTATTGTACTTGCATCATAGAGTTTCCTAAAAAGAAATGTTAATATTATTTATTTCATTCTTTCATGTAATTATTCAATCCAATCACATAAGACATATTTTTACCTTGTCTTGAGAAATCTTCGACTTGCGAGCTCCACGAGACTGGGAAATTTCATAGAATGTACCACATATCTGTTAACACCATTTAATAGGTTTCCTGAGACGTCAATGTTCATCAATCGTAAATTTTTTATACTGCCAGGAAGATGCGACAAGTCGTTCATTGATAAATCCAAGTATCTCAAATTGGTCATACTTCCAATACTTTGTGGCAAAACTTTCAAAACATTACGACTCATTTTTAAAGTTACAAGTGCAGTCAGTTTTCGTATTTTTTCAGGTACTATATGCATCTGTAAACAAATTTTTTAAAAATATATAGTAACAAGCATTGAAATATATTCATATTATAAAATGAGCACGGTACAATATTTCTATTTAGGTAGGATTTAAAAAGAAGCTTACACCATTGCAGCTTATATCCAATAATTTCAGACTTTTAGCAACTCCTTCTCCATCGAGCCACGTCCAATTCGACATAGGCATTTTTCCAAGATGATTCTGAGCCAGAATTAATTCTTGTAAATTAGGTAAAGAGCCCATCTCTTTTGGTAAAGATGTAATTTGGTTTTCAGTAAGATTCAAAACTCTCAGCCTTTGCAGTCTTAAAATTTGTCTGTCAAATGACTTTCTCTCTAATCCAATGATACATAACTCTTCCGTTGTTCTTGGGAAGCCTTGCAGTACAGGATATTCTGATTTCTTACGAATGGTAACTTTAGTTTTGGGTCCTGCCGTAAGAGACTTGGGTTTTAAATTTGATATAGATAGTACATCAAGTTGCGGTTTATTGTAAACGCCAAGTTTCAAGACATGAAGAAAACTCTTTAACTGAACTGCATCTCCAGTGATGATCAAATCGTGTGGCGGTTCTATAATTCGAATAGTTGCCTTACCATCGTTAATAAATTTTGTAAAGACTTTCTCTATATTATGGTCTACCTGCAAAAACAATGTATAGTTAAATAAATTGAAAATAAGAAACAATAGACAATGAACATTTCACACTGAACTTACCTTATATTTAACACCTTGTCTATTTTGTGGAGTTTGTAGAAAAATATAAAGTTCGTCATCTTTCAAAGAATTCCTCCCAATCCCTAGGCATGAGCGCTGACCTTTTCGTTTCCAAGGAATATTCGTTGAAGACAACAGCCTATTGCTAACCTCCACAGTGCACATAAGTTTCATTATTCTCAATTCGCAATTTGACTTTCTTTAATTCTACTAAGTTTTTACATAAATCACATTTCGTATAATAGACGTCTTAACAAAGAACATTAATATTAACATATACCATTTACTTTCAATAAAATTAATAAATGTTCATAAGGTGTACATAACATCAAACGTTCATTCCGTTTACCCGCGCAAACTGTAAGTACTGTCAGTAACTGTCACTTAACCATCATCAGCTGAAATTACTTCACTGACTACTGATAATATGAAAAAACCACTGAACAATATTAATTTATAAAAAATCAATCCAAAGACATAAATAATACTGTTCTTTATGAAATAATATAAGTAAAACATATTTCGAATTTAAAAATTTCAAATGAATAAAATAGATTTCTATCTAATCAAGAGTAGATAATGCTAAAAAAATGCTCAACAAATTTTTTATTTCAATTCAATTAACTTCAGATATATTATATTTGCAATTTTCATATACTTTACAGCAAGTTAAGTGTAAATGGATGGAAAAGTTTTAATTATGAATGATTGATTTTCTTAAATGACGTCTCAAGCAACGTTGTTTTATTCTGCCATCTGACTATAGAAAGTTAAACTCTTGTAACAAATATTGAAGTTTATTATTATATGCCTATATGGCAATTGTGTACTGTATCTTTGCACATGATCAAAGTAATGATTTACGAATTTAATTTACGAATCGTACACCGATTAAATTTGGGATGATTATCGATGCTTTTATTGTGTGACGCGCATGAGATGACAAAAAATTTGCAAGCATAATAGGCAGGTCTGTTATCCTCAATAATTTGTCTGCCTTTTCGGCACGTTTTACGTGTTCTTTCTCGTATTTTCTTTTATTGCGAAATGTAACTTTGTGCAATTGTACCTTGTAAGTATATCAGCTACTTGATTTAATACTTTATTTGTAACAATATACTTTGTTTTTTTACGTTAAGGTTATAAATATTGGTTTGTAATTGAGAAAAACCGCTTAAGTGTTGTCTGTCAATAATTGGGATTTTATGTTTTCTTATTCATACTTTGAATAACTGTGCTTCATTATTTTAGAAGAGCCTGCGAAGACATTTAAATGTTTCAGAAAACTTTAATTTCTGTTTGAGAAGTTGTACTGATGAAACAATAATGAAAATGTTTCTTAATCCAAAGCAATTGGATAATCAAATCATTAATTTGATACAGCTGAGAGAGATACAGGTATGGCATTCTTATCATATATTTTAAATATACTATAAACTTTTGCAGTACATTTCTTACATAAAGATGTTGTTAAATTTAGGAATCTGCTGCACACGTTGTATCTCAAAAGTTACATGTCACAGAGAATCTAGTGGCTAGATTAGGCTTGGAGAAGGAATTAAGTGGACATGGAGGCTGTGTTAATTGTTTAGAATGGAACGAGACTGGAGAGTATGTATAACTCTTAACTAATAAGAAAAAAAGATAATACTTCATTTTTACTAAAAACCAAATACAATTTACTCTTTGGCAAAGTTTTTTACTTGATAAGTAAACAATATTTATTTATTTTTAGAATCTTGGCTTCTGCATCCGATGATGTACATGTGATATTATGGGATGCTTTTCGGTATCAGAAAAAATTGGTTTTACATGCTGGTCACAATGGAAACATTTTTTCTGTAAAGGTAAATAAATTTGCTAAAACTTTTTGTAGAAATTATAATCATCCCTTGCTATATCATACTGTTGTTCCAGTCAGTGAATTTATTTTAGTCTTTGACGTGTGTTTCTAGTTTATGCCAAAATCGAATGACAGTATCCTGGTGTCAGGTGCAGCGGACTGTAGGATCCGGGTACACGATCTAGTACGGTCTGATACTATTCTGGCATGTAATTGTCACACTGGCCGTGTTAAACGTATAGCAACAGCACCCAGCGTACCGTTTCTCTTCTGGAGTGCAGCTGAGGACGGGTTGATATTGCAATACGACATTCGGGTGCCGCACAATTGCAATGCTAATGATCGCAAATCCGTCCTTGTTAATCTTTCAAATCATTTGGGTCGCTATGCAGAGGCAAAATGCATCTCAATAAATCCAAGACGACCTGAGTTAATAGCTGTTGGGGCAAACGATGCATACATAAGAATGTACGACAGAAGAATGATAAAACTTGCATCGCTGCAGGTAAATTTTTATGACACACAAAGAAATAAAACTGCTTAGATACATAATTATAGAGACAAAAATGTTTTTGCTGGATATTTTTATTATTAGGTCCCAGCAAGTGCTTCACCACGTACCAATTGGGACGGAGTAAACGTCAATGGCCAACGTGCTGGCGAAGGCGATCCAGAAAACAATATCCCACTGGAATCTGCACAGTACTTTATTGCTGGTTCGTTTGTACGATCACTCTTCGTCCCTAACCTTGATGTGAAACATCCTGTAGCATTGCCTGAATGAGGATTATATTTATTCTTTAATATTGTCCAGGTCATCTACATAATCATAATCGTGATCACAACAGAACTCTGACTGCTACGTACTTGACATTTAGTGCTGATGGAAATGAATTACTCGTTAATATGGGTGGTGAACAAATTTACTTGTTCGATATCAATAACCAACACAATTCAAGACTATTTGCTCCTCCGCAGAACGTCAAATTTTCAGGTAGACTTTATATAAGATTATTAATATTTGAAGTGTATTGAATATTCTTCCATCTGTCTTTGTTGCACTTTTAGATACTTGTTGGACAGATACATTGAAGGACTGTGTAAACTCAAACAATAAAACAACAGAAGATTATTCATTGAGAAATACAAAAGTTTTACCACCCCATGTCGAAGCTATCAAGTTACAAGTATTTTCTGTTCTGTAAATATAATTCATTTTGTAGTGAATTTATATAAATTGTGATCTACATTTTCAGGCTAACGAGGGATTCGAACAACAAAAATACACATTGGCAATTAATTTATACAACAAAGCCATCAGCCATTGCTCCACTGCAGCTATGCTTTATGCTAACAGGGCAGCGGCACTTATGAAAAGAGCATGGTGAGTATTGTATTTATTAGTGTTGCACATAGTTTTTTATAAAGTAGTTATTCACTGTAATTTATTATTCCAGGGATAGTGATGTATACGCTGCGTTCCGTGACTGTCGTATGACATTACTCTTAGATCCGGAGCACGTCAAGGCACATTTCAGGTTAATTAAACAATACATTCATATATTCCTAACAAATACCAATTTAAGGTAACTTTCTATTCTCTAAATAAACTTACTTTTTTATTCTATTTGCTTCTACTCAGACTTGCACGCTGTCTAATTGATTTAAACCGTCCAGCAGAGGCGTGCAAAGCAATTGAAAGTTTTCAAGAAAAGTTTCCAGAATATATAACAAATTCAGCATTCCGTGCTTTGAAGAAAGACATCAAGGAAGCTATGAACACTGGTTAGGAAAATAATTAAAAATCGTATATACGATTGAATTTACTACAATAGACAAAAAACTGACAAACTTTATAGGAGAAGAATCAACAAGGACCAATCATCCATCATTACAAATGATTTCAACGCACGAACAAGAATGGCGTCGCAATACAATTGATTACAAATTGAGATTCTGCGGTCACTGCAATACAACAACCGACATAAAAGAGGCCAATTTTTTTGGAAAGTACGTAAAAATCAATCAATCCCTTTCTGTATCATTTATCTACCACCAATCAAACCACTAATAATTAATTCATTGGAAAAGCTATGGACAATACATAGTGGCTGGTTCAGACGATGGTTCATTCTTCATATGGGATCGTAAAACAACAAACATTGTTCGCGTATTGCAAGGTGACGGAAGTATAGTAAATTGTCTTCAACCACATCCTTCGACATGCCTTCTAGCAACTAGTGGTATCGACACAGTCATCAGATTATGGAGTCCGTTGCCAGAGGTTAGTAAATATTTTAGCCACCATAATTATAATGTCTAATTAAATTGCTTTTTTACTCACTAGGATGGAAGTGTCAATGAGCGAGAAATTCTAAATCTAGACGATGCCGCATCTGCCAATCAAATCCGTATGAATAGCGACCCGTTCGAGTTGATGCTGATGAATTTGGGCTACCGATTTCCAGGACAACACGCTGCCGGCGACGAGGACAGCGACGAGTCTCAGGAACCACGTGTTGCTCAAGCATTAAATTGTAGACCAAGTTAAAGATTCGTTCATTCTCGATTCAAGGTTTTTGGGAATCCCGTGGGTTTATAAGACTTTTGAAACTATGGTAAACGCATAAATCTAAAGCGTTATTCAATTTAATTCCTTTTCTTACTTGCTTAACATTGTCCTCTTCCTATATTTATCGCCTTTTGCCGATAACATTTAAATACGTTCCATATATTTTAAAAGGTTGTACGATGTTAGAGAGAATCTTCAAGTCACGCAATATTTCACTTCAATAACGTAAAGAAACCTCACGATTATTTAATTTAATACTGTGCATAGAAAGCGCATGTATCCATTTAATATTATTCTAGCCTTATGTAAAAGTCTATATATCAATAACTCACGCTTTTAACTAGCTGGTAGTAACTCCCAAAGTGTTTGCAGAGTGCTGCCTTCTTTTGGTTCCTCAACAGCGAGACCCAAATAGTTTGAGAATTTTGGTTCTCTTTGTTGCTGTCCACCATCTGAGAAATACAAGCCGAACACGTGAGAGATTTCATCATTACTGTCTTGAATCTCCTTGAAATTTTCTTCGCTAATGTCCGGCTGCTGCGTTACAGCCTGTACAAAGTTAAGTTTTATAATTTCTTTCACTTTCTTCACAGTGCATAGCTCAACAGTCATTAAATAATTACGTGGAAATTCTCACCTGATGCTCAAAGGTGTACTCTACTCCAAAAATTGGAGATCTCTTATAAGTGGCAAGAAGCGCTGTTATTTCCTTGTGCAAAAAGTTAAGTTTCTCAATGGAATCCATACGAAATCCCAAAACGTAGCCGCCGTTGGCTTCATTGCTGGTGACGACAAGCACAGTACCGAATTTCGAAGTTCTTATATTGGTCTGGCAGAAGCAGCGAAAAAAAAAAATACAAAATCAAAATGATAAGTAAAATAAGAAACGAATTTTCTGCCAATTTTACTTTTGTTCTAATTATCATAATTATCATCATGTTAATTGAAATGATTTAAGTATTATATGCAATATGTTTGACTTACGCTGGCGACGGTAATGTAAGGCACGGACACATTGAATTGATGATTCATATCCGCGAACCATACAAGTCTTATATTTGTTACTATAAAGGTACCGACGTTTCCCTGAAAACAAAAAAAAAACAATATTGTTTCTATGAGAAGGATGTGTTATGAGTAAGATTATCATGTCTGTTATCATCGTGTACATCACGTGCATCGAACTGATATAAGATGCAATAAAAAGTCTTATTTATTATCCTGTTATCACTTGAATATTTTGCGCTTTATACGCCATAGAACAGTGCAGGTGAATTAAAAAGTTTGACAGAGGCAACGTTCATTTTTTTTCTTCTGTAACTGTTCGTTGATTGTGTTCTCTTGCATGTATACCTGCTCGGTAGACAAATTCCATACTCCTGGCAATTTTGTATGCACTTTTTCTTGTGGCAATAATATTAATCTACCTTCCTGTATTATTCTTACTCGTAATTTAACTTCCCTGTAGATTTTTGAAGATATGTATGCCCTAGAATGATTGATATTTTTGTTGCTTTTTTAAATAATAATAAAAAATTAATTTTTATATACCTGTAAACTCCAATGACGGATGTATAGTGTCGTGAACATTTTGGCATTTGATTGGTGAAAATAAATTCGTATCTGCAATTTTGAAATGATGTCAAAATGTGAAGAGCTTGAGTTTGGCCCCCGTGAATCTAAAAAATATTCATGGATCAGAAGTTTAATTTATTATAAATATAGGACAGATATAATTATACAAACCGAATTAACTATTTTTGTTGTGGCAGTGACAAAAGTATTGTATCCAATGCCTGTAAAAATGGTGATTTAATTAATTGTTCTTCTTAGGGTGTTATTTAGCCAATTGTCCATTTCTTACTTAAATTAATCCGAGGCAGAGAGACGGAGTGCCAGACAATTCGTAAATTTGTTACCAACAATCGCCCAATATCACCATTGTTGCCTTTTGTATCCTCAATCATGTCTAGTCTGTCAATAAGAAGCTCACCGACTCGAAATTGTATTTGTCTGAATTAAAAAGCAAATATAAAAAAAAATGCATAAAAATCCGTAAATCAGTTGTCCATGATAAAAATTCTAATTTCAAGTATCCATATACCAAATATCTTCTACTTGTAATGCTTAGAATTTATATACAATAAATATAATTACGAGAAAGGTACGTCGAATCTAACTTCATTATCTTGCCACATTATGATTGCTTTTTAATCCAAATTTCATATAGAATAATGAGTAATAGAATATGATTCTGGTTAGGCCGCAATCAGCGTGTAAACTAGTGTAAGATAAGACGTTCTAGCATTTCAAATCAATACAGTTGTCATGCCGACTAGAATGTACAACAGACATTATTTGACCGCTTGGAGCTTCGATATTTATACAATATTTCACCCAGAAAGGATATTAATTAATAATGTTAAGTAATAGATATGCACTTTATAGATGTTTTCAGACTAAAGGCTAAGGACTGTATTATTAAAATAAACATGTAATCCTTTTCACAGGAATCACATTTATTTCTTTATGAAAAATGCGAATTTATTAAAATTATTTTGCTCCATAAACAATCGTTCTTAAATATTATTAGCAAATTTGACTTTTAACACAGCTTTGCATTGTCTCTTCATATTGTTTCATCAGAGCAATCGTTAGTATTCCTGAATTTTTCTTGTACACGTAGATGAACACATCACTAATTGTTTACTACGAAAGAGAAACTCCACCAGCAAGTCTGCGTACAGCAGATGCAACATCCTGAGCAATTTTTTCAACATCTGTCGAATTTTCACATTCTGCATAAACTCTGACAACGTCTTCGGTACCAGATGCTCTGTAATCCAGGGTTGATCATTTGTTAAAGTTTTGAGTAAAAAAATTCATGAACAATTTGAAAATGAATAGGTTATAATGTAGTCTACATATTTTTTATGTATAAATTCTCACCTAATAAAGGAACGGCCTTTTGGATAACGCGAAACTATTTTGTCAATTTCTTCTTGCAATCCAACTGGCTTAACGCATTTCCTTTCTGCATCTGTTGTAGAAATTACATTCCTGTCTTCGACCTTGACCTTAACTTGCTTATTTGGGAGGTCATTGTAACTGCTCTCCCAAGCAAGAACATCCCAACCGTTGGCGTGTAAGATTGTTTCTACCAGTAACATGTCACTAAGAGCATCGCCTACAGTTTGATTGATCACTTCAATTGCACTAGCTAATTTGGAAGCTGCATCCTTTTGAGCGGTTGAAGAACTGCAATTAAAAATAATGTCCATGAGAACACTGTGATGTCGGATTAAAAATATTTTAATTTTAAGTATGCAAAACAAATATAATAACGCGTTGTAAGGAAAGGTATTCTAAGGAAGAAGAACAGAAAAATGATTCTTACTCGGAGCTCGCAGATGTTTCTCGTATGGCTTCGATGGCAGAATCCTTGAAGACAACAGTTCCATGGCCATTCGCTTCGAAATAAATTCCGATATCAAATTCTAGTGCTTTATGATGCAAGTGCTTAACACCTGTAGGTACACAGGCCACTGGTATTTTCTAAAATGGAAGTAAGAAAATATGAGTTTAAGTAAAAAGATTTGTCTTTCTCTGTTCTTATAGTGTTGTAACTTGCAAAGATGAAGTTTACTACTTACTAGAACGTTTTCGATATAATGTGTTGAGCCACCATTAGCATATGCTGTTTGGACCAATCCAAGCTTCAAATTTAATCCACTTTTGTTCAACAATTCTTTAAAGTATCCTGCTACCAGAGTTGCTATCCTGTCACCATCCAGAAGATGAAACTTTGCTTTTTCATCTACGTAATAGTAAACGACTCTGTCTGCATCGCCATCGATACTGACACACCTACAATTTATTTCGACAGGAACAGTTGCCGGAGGGACTTGCTGAACTTTAACATAATCTGCTCCACACTTTAAGAAAAATTATAAAATAATCAAAGATAAATACAATCGTGAAGAAATTGTTTAAAGTAAATAATAATTTACTATTACCTCATGATTCAGATTTTCATTAGCAACGTTGTAAATTTCTATATTTAAAAAACCTTCCAATTGCTTTTTAAATTCCCTCGCAGCTATTGCACCAACACCATTGGCTGCATCCAGCTTTACAGATGGGACGTATTTGTCTGAACTTGGTGAACCTCCTCTAATACTTTTAAAAGCATTACTTAACTTACGGTAATATCCTTCTAATGTAGCATCACCATAGCTACCATTTGTATTGGTACACACCACTAAGTAATGCAGTTGCGGAGTAGTAATAACACCAAAGTTTTTGAAAGTACCATTTGCAGCTGTGATACCAGCAATCGAAGAATTTGCTAAAGCAGCACTACTCGTTCTGGTATCCCTACCAATTATTACTGACGCTGGAGTATTAATGCTGATATTCTGTTCAGAAATAATACGCTGTACGGTAGATGATATATCAGAGTCATTCACGTTTGCTAATTCAGTCGCTATTTTTTCCCAAGAAGCTTCTAACATTTCTCCAGCAGGATCGACAAGCTTTACTCCATTATCACATTCTGGATTATGACTAGCCGTAATCATTAAACCAATGACAGCTGTAACAAAAACAATATAAAAAAATATTTATAATCACATTTTATTACGTAGAATAAACAAAAATTATTTAAATATTACATTAGATACCCTGAAACGAATTAAAATAATCATTACTATCAGTCTTTTGAGAATTAAACTATACGTAAACAAATGAAATCATATCAAAAATTAATACACATTAAAATTGTATTATCAGAGCCTATGACTATCACTCGAAAATTGCAAAACAATTGGGAGAAGTTACAGAGTGGGGCAACTACTTGTTGCCACATTGTGAGATATAAACTAAATGGTCGATCCAATAGCATAAGCAAAAGTGGATGCAAGATAATAAGCTAACAATCATTATAATTAATTAAAAAATTAATTATCGTTACCATTTTTTGCTTTAGATCGTAAAACTGCTAATACTCCCATTCTGTATAAAACATGATCCAGTATGGTGGCTCTATAAAAAATTAAATAATTTAAATATTGTAGTGACAGCAGTGACAGTCTAGATATTGGCTTAACCTATGAACGCATAAATATCTAATAATAAAATTAAAGTGAAAATATGAACAATTTTATATATTTTTTCATACCTTGTTCTAAAGCCAGCTGTACCATATTGTATGTGACCATCATAAGTTTTAGGATGCTGCGTTTTACCAACGTTTTCAATTACTGAAAAGTCCATAATGGTAAGACGGTAATTCCAGGATATCCTTTAGAACGGTACTGGTTGTACAGATAACAGGAAATCAGGGTAAAAATGACAAGAGGTAACGGTAGACAATATGCCTGTTGTTAACCGTTGTGCAGCCTAGTGGAGATCAAAATAAAAAGCCTAGAAAACAACCTTTCACTTATCATGTATGTACATAAATATCGACTACGTTGTCGGCTACGGTAAAAATTCAAATATATGTATATTATCAAAAGAATTTCTGCACTTCCCAACTGTATACGTTAATTTTATTATAATAATTATGCAAAAATGATTTAACAAATAATAGTTGTCTCCTTAATCTAAATCTTGCTTCGCGATGGAACATTCAAATTCTATATTTCCTAATGCGACACGAATGTCTCTAAATAATTAAGAACTCTTGCAGTATCTTGATTAAATCGTTCAGAAGATCTTTTTTTTCTTCCAACGACTACAGTTGCCGTAGTAGCGCTAGTGTTCAGATTTCGAAAGAGAAGCTGTATGGAAAATAAAAATAAATATGATTTAGAAAAAAAAATGAATACATCGTGTCCTTTAACAAGCATAACTCAAAGTAACACAATTATTTGTTTAAAAAATCATATTAGACTTACCATAACTAATCGCACGAGATAAACAGCAAAAGTAAGGAATGAAATAGCCATAAGTGCTCCTTCTAATGATGGAAATCCTAAACTGTCATCATCACTTTCGTAATGATCTCCAGAAGCACCTCTTATTTTTCTGGATGGTGCTAAAGTAGCAGCTAATCTAGATTCTGTAATTGAATAAATTTACTTCAATGATTAATTCAAACAATTATATCAAATGCCAAATTGTATTAAAATCTTCCTCTTACCAATTTCCATCATCAAAGTTCTCTCGAATGTTTTCAAAAATCGTATTTTTCCCTTTAGTGTAGCCGGTTGCGATTTTAAAGTTTGATGAACACTTTTCAAGGTCTCCATTGGTAAATAATCAAAGAACGATGATTCGTGATTTATTGTTTCGTAGCGCGAATTGTCACTTTCGTTGATAATTATATTTTCCGTAGTGGACGAAGCATCATTGATCTCGAATTCATTCGTTACCACTTTTACAGGCGATTCCATTTGAATCTGCATATCATCACTATATTCATCTTGTTCGATATCGATCGATACATGATCATCGTCGTTATTATTATCAACGTCGCTATCATATTTACCATCAAAACTATCTTTGATATTTTCTTCATTAAAATCTATTTTACTATCCTGTGGTTTATTACTAAATGGCGAATTACTTTCTTTGATTCGAACTTGTGTTAATGATTGTGACGTCAGATCCGTGCGATCATTAATTATCTCTTTTACTTTATTAACATCCGTCATACGAACCACAGTCGATCTACTAACATTTCGTAATTCATTACGAATAGGATTTCCAAAATGCATTTTATTAATTTGATCGTGTCTAACAGGCAATCTGTAAACTTTGGATTCGTCTGAAAATTGTGGAATTTCCACCCACTCGGCAAAGATTACATTCCTGGACGAGACGAAGAAAAGAAATAAAACTGTCGATAAATACTGAACAAACATTTTACTTATTTTTTAAAACTGTCATTAAAAAAAAAAACAGATATATATTATCCACAACCGTCGCTCTGAAATTCAAATGAAAACTGAGTCAAGTTACCGCTTAAAAGCGTCGTAAGAGCAAAGCAATTATTTCAAGTAGACTTTTTGTCGTTAAAAAAAAATACATAGTCTATCGCAACAAATAAAAGATCTTCTAACATAATTCAAATGCCTAATCCAATCGATTCTCATGTCCTAAAAGAATACATAGTTCTTACAATAGTTCATTTGAGAAATCAATCAAGAGACGTTATTACATTATACCATATTTTACCAGTGCGACATTTCTGGAACACAAGTATCTTTTTCATTACTATAATTCGACCGGTGGCTTCTACTCACCATGAAGAGGAGATTACTCGACAGGCTTCAGAAACTTTGCAACGGTATATTCTGACATCACAGTTCCCCCTTGAAAATAACTGTAAAAAATATTAATAAAATTTAAATTCCTCCAGTCGACAGTTACATATTCCTTGAGAGTAAAAAATGTTTTTTTTTTTATTAATACGTTGTGCCCTTACAATAAAAAGGAGTACAGGTGTATCTCAATATTTATATGCTTTGTAACAACCTTTTAATAATACTGTTAATGTTAAGCAACACGCAAATTCCTACATAGCGATTCAACGATATCAACCATAGACCTTTATACATATACTCTTATACATATAGCAAAGAAATATGTAGAAATATATGTAATATATGTGAAATAAATATATATATATATATATATATCTCAACAAACAATAAATAACAGTTTCAAACTCGGTGACATAATAGTTATGCACGTCAGGTATTTTGCAACTGTTATATCCCTTAACGTGACGTTTTAACATTGTGAATATGTAACTGTTATGACATTGTTTACTGGGATATATATGGAAAAGCAAAAAATTCTGAATTTTATGAAACCAGCCGACTTAATTTTTTCTTTAATACTTCCTTTTCTTAGGCCCGTTTTTATACGTATGTATATATATTTTATTTACTATTTTGTCGACCGGTTACTATTATAGATGCTATAATTATTATCGTTTACCGTCAAATTGGTTCTTACTTTTTTAAGCGTTAATACAGTTAGAGAATATAATATATTAAATATTTGATATATCGATCAGTTTAAAAAATTTGTAACGTCAAGAGCTCTCAAAGATATAATTTAGTGTTGTCGATGGCGATGATAACAGATCCGTCGAAAAACATAATCATTTTTCATTATATACCTATATAAACTTCTTGTTTTCCTTGCTTATTCTTCATTGTCGTAATTATCAAAGTCTGCCAATAGTTAACTTCAGCACGACGACATGCTCTTGTTTCACTTTGTTTTATCTTAAATTGATAAGGCAGATACAAAGATGCGATGAAATGTAGTTTCCTGCAATGTAGGCTAACTCGTGTATACGCGTATAGTTCTTAATAATTTATGAAAGATTATAAGATAAGATAAAGTCAAAGACGAGAAAAAAAATAGTGGATACCTCCTTAAATATTTCATAGAATTAGCATTCGTTTCATCACGGTGGATCCGTATGTTATAAAGTTAACCATTAACGTTCGGATGTTTCTATATAATGCACGTAACTTGCATCATTCTAAAGAGGGATGAAAACGCGTTGAAAGTCGATATATTTGAATATTTAGATAAGTTACCTGTAAAAGTCGTTATCGCCAGTTTTGAACACATGATAAATATTCAACATTCAATCGAGTTCTCTCTCTGTTTCTTCATAGAGTAAAGTGAAAGAATTTCCATGTAAGATCAACGGAAAACGGGCGAAAAAATTAAAAGAAGCTAATCGTGCGAAGTCTCCATGGACGAAAAGACGATCCTATAATGCGATCTGGATAAGTATACCTATGTAATAATATGAGATACGTATTTATACGTAATTAACAATGGACGTAACAAAGAATCCGCGAACATTTAAAAAGCGCCATCGACATAAAATACACGTTACGGAATATTCGAACAATTAAGCTAAAATGGCAGCCAGCGTACAGTCGATTAAAGAGATATTATGACACATGACGTAGCATTAAGGCGCATAATTCAATTTGAATATACAAAGACGTCAAGTTTAATTTGTACAAGTGAAGCGAGTAAATAAAAGGAAATGCCAATTGGAATTCAATATAAAACTCTCGAGAAATTATGTCGTAATCTTTTTTCGTGACATTTTTAAAAAGCTTTTGGAATGTTACGAGTTCGCAAAATTACAGGTATTTACCAGGAACTAGCGTTATGAGTTAAAAGCAGACTCGTTGATATTTGGCACAATTTACTTTATATACGCACTCTCGGCTTTTTCCTTCTTTTATCGCGTGCCATTTCTTTCTCTTTCCTTTTATTTACTGCGTACCCACTTTTTTCCTTTTTCGATTATACAGACGAAATTGAGTGAGCGATAAACCAGTAACAGGGTGCACGTATGTACATATCTAATTACGAATTTGTCCGACAGTAATTCAGATCGTTCGTGGATCGTCCATTATTGTACTTTCTAATTTATCAAAAATCTTTATACAGAAAGAAAGCAGAATAGAGTTTGATTAAATTGTAGGAATAAAGCTGAGCTGTATAAATAATTACTATAGCAATTATAATAATTATAAGTGCCGTATATCAACCTCGTAGATACAAAGTGATGGTCGAAACTATCATAATAATTGGAATGGATAAAATCTTGAATTACGTCAATTATAAAAATCGAACTTTCGTACGACTTTAATTAGACGAGTGAGAAGAAATACTTCTTTGATTACTCTCTCAATTTTCATTGTTTCTTGTTTCTTTAAACATTCACGGCCATTTCATCTTCGCGAGAAGTAAACTTAAGCGAAACGTAAATATTATACAATTCTCTTGTTTGTTTTCATGGACGTGCATATGGTAAATTTTTAAAAATATATTTATAATGAGTATTTTTCAGTGTAAATCACGAGCACAGAAATACAATTTTTATCGAGACAGGAGAACAATGCGAAGATATATATATATATTCACATGAATAATTCTATAGCATTCACATGAATATACATATAATATACATGACCAAAATTTCAAAATTATAAAAGCGTGTAAATAAGGTAAGCGCATTTGGTTTTACAATAAAAATAAAAATATAGTTTGAAACTAATAAGATTAATGAATATTTTGTTAATGAATCTGCATTCCAATTTGTCTCGGATCTAAATCAATAGAACGAAACTTCGTCGCGCAGACACACACGTGATTAGGACAAAAACAGATGACTTAACTGTATTAAAAAAATAATTTCGGAAACAATAAGTAAGATAAACTTTATAAACCTTCTCCAAGAAGGCCACGTTAAATAGAATGTTGCGATGCATTAAATAATATCATTAACGTTAAATAATATCAAGTATAATTCTCAGTGGCCAAGTAAATTACTTTTTGTTCCACGAATATTAATATTATATAATATTGATTCGTGTCAAATCGGCTTGATCACGCCTGAGATGATAATAATAATAATAATAATAATAATAATAAAAATTATAATTAATCAGATCCCACAACCAGGTCACAACTTATGTTTCTGTAACATAATGAGATATATAAAAAGTAATTAAACGCCCTAATCTACGATTACAGCGTCCATAATAACGAGCATTTCTAATAAAATTGATTGAAACGTACTTTTTATCCCAGATCGTATTTTATACGTACGTATATACGTATTTTTGTTATGTATGCGTCTATGCGTTATTAATAAACGTACATATAATTAAAACTTATCCCTTAATTTAAAAAAATTGTAATATGCAAATACAAGTGTCTTCCATTTGACGAAATTAGTATCGGAATTCATTCCTGATGAGTTCTGATATTTTAGAAAGATATAGACAGTGGATTAAAATTGTCGCAGATTAAAGAAAGTATTACTTGAAAATTCACTGAGCGTAAACTACTGAATTCGACAGTAAGACGTAATACTATTGTGCTCTTTTAAAGACGAAAAGTATACAAAAACCGCTAAAGATGATCGAACAAATAGTTTTTACCAATACCAAAAATCTGTATCAGTTTGATAAGAGTAGCAAACGGTTTCGAAATTATGAAGGAGTCATTTAAAAAAATTGCACGTCCCCAAAATATAAGTAATTTGAAAGACACGTAAGTAGACAGTAAATCCTGACAGCCGAATATCGAAAAATCGAATAGGCAGGATAGTAAAGAGATGAATTTGCGTCATGACGCAAAGAATACGTCGCGACTCAAAGAATTCGTCAGGCGCGAATGAAGCGTCGTAAAGTAGCACGTGCACTGCGTGGCCATCCTTTATGCAGTGGAGTCGGCGTCGAGGATGACTCAATATTTCTACTCGCCGGAAAGTTATGTCATGCGCGTTGACCAGCAAACGTCATCCAGCGAGCGTCATCGCTTTCATGAGTCAAATAACGACAGCCAACCTGAGACTCGAGTTCGCGAAGATCGCACCATGTTTGATAATCCTATATAAAAATAGGCATAAGATAAAAACAGGACGTTGTATCGGTAGATGAAGATTTGAAAGGGATTTGATAATCATATATATAGAAAAAAGAAATACTCACTTGTAACCAAACATGCTGCAAGCTCTTGTCGACTGTGTATCGTTTCCTCTGTTTGACTTGTAGTAAATTATTAATCAGATCTATAGCTGTGAATGAAATAATTCAATTAATTTAATTCAATAATATAAAAGCAATAAGCGATCGCATATTATAATTAAGGTAATTTCTAATTCTCAGATTCTTACCATCAGATGAAATCTCTTTCCACGGATTAGGAGGATACATAAAGGCGGCATTTTGAATTTGTTCATTGATATCCTCATCCTCGTTGAAAGGAAACGTACCGCTTAAGGATACGTACACGATTACGCCAACGCTCCACATATCTAATGACCTATTGTACCCTTTATTCCTCAGGACTTCCGGTGCCAGGTACGCCGGTGTACCTACAACGCTTCTACGAAAGCTTTTCTCGCCAATTATCCTGGCAAAGCCAAAATCGCAGAGCTTCACCTGGGTGAAGTCGCTATTGCTACTTAGTAAAACGTTCTCTGGCTTCAGGTCGCAGTGTACGATGTTCTTGCTATGGAGATGTTTCAGGGCAACTAATATTTGCGTTATAAGGAATTTTGTAATTCTTTCACTGAGACGTCCTTTCTCAGAATTCAAAATCATCTCCAACATGTCTCCTTTTAGTTTTTCCATCACGACAAATATCCGTTCGGGCGTCTCGAACATCCGCTCTAAGTTGACAACGCCGCTGTGAGATAAATTTTGCAAGATAGCTACTTCGTTCTTCAACTGTGCTTCTTGTTTCGTAGGAAAACGTAATTTGTCGATGACTTTTATTGCCACTGCGCGTCCAGTTTTTCTATGCACTCCGCCATAAACTATTCCAAACTGTCCAGAACCCAAAACCTCATCCGGAAATATTTGATACAGCTGGGACATATCTGTTATTCGCTCTTCCGGTTCTGTTGACTGTTCTTGATCTAAGCAAATTAAAGCGCAATTAGCAACTGTAATGGGTTTTTCATAAATTATGTTTAAATGTTTTAAATATATTAGATTGTGCATACTCGCTGAACCGGAAGTGACGGGCATCAGTGCTTGACGGATACTTGTTTCCCAAGTTCTAGCTATGTACGCCCCGACGCCACTTTCCGGAGGCGGAAGCTGCCCACCTACATCACCGTATAGTGGATCCTCTCCAACGTAATAATCTACATTGGCTGTTCTTAGCTCGAAGCAGTGCATTGTATCTAAATAGGCGAAAATCACTTATGATAATATCCATTAAAGGAAGCAGCGTATATAAGATATGAGAACTTACGAGAATATGGAACTTTGGCTGTTTCAACAACTAATATTTCAGATAATGGAATTTCTTTGTAATACTTTGATCCGCTGTCACTTTGGAACAATGTGATAGCCTTTGTATCGAGCCTCCAATAATGTCTCTTTCTCTAAAAAAATGATTGATATAATTAAAAAGACATAAAAATAACGATACTTCAATTATACTTATTATTGTTTAATACTTACGACTGGATCACGACTTGTGAAATGTACCATCCAGCCTTCCTTAAGGACTTTGGAACCGCGCCGTTTTGTGTGCTTGACGCTCTGAACTATGCGCATTAGTGGGATGTTATTGCTTGGCGATGAGCTGCAACTAGTTTTGCGTAGAGAAAACGCAAGAAGAGACAGAAGTAGAAGGAAACAGAAAAGGAATATTGTTAGGATAGAAACAGATTGGAGAGCTTACTTTTCACAGAAATAAGTGATTACCTGGAGGTTCTTGACTTTTTAAACTCATCGGAGGAGACGTCGTCATGGCTTGGAATGAGGTCCTACAAAATTGTAATAATTAAATTAAACTACGCTGTTACTAGGAGATATTTGAATTAATTCTACAAATAGATTACAATTTATCTTACAGTATATCCTCCGTTGAGGTTACTTCCATCTGTCTCGTGTGTCGAATGGGATGGAGGCGGAGGAGATTCAGCATCGCTGTCACCATCACCTTCTTCATTTCTTCCATCATACCGTCCTTCGGATTCACTGCCAACACCACTGTCAGGATATTCGTTGCCTATCGAATTATCAGTATATCAAATGTACAGAATAGTCTACGAGAAGTACTGAATTAAAAAAATTTCTATCGCTATATGAAAATGTGGAAGTTGTATTCAATACCTGCACTGTCTTTTGGATTCTCGCCAGTGCAATCCTTTGGAATTTTGTCAATACATTTTTTATGCGCATTATATTGGCAATCCTTGCACTGTAGACCTTGTTTAAAGAGGCCACGCAATAATTTCTTACAGAGGCCGCAAACTGTCGGCCGTGTATATGTATGAACGACAAAAGTGTGTGGAATTTTAATGCGTGTGGCTATTTCACGTTCTACCCAGACAGGTCGACCGCCTAGTGATGGAGATCGTGATTGCTTTGGGGTTACTATGCTTGGAATCGCCTAAAAATAGATATTGCAGTTTTGTAGGAAATAGCATAGCGTGATGCTTATAATTATTTGTTAAATTTAAGCTGATTCAAGTTTTTACCAATGTACTATTACTCTGGCTTGCATTAAAAACGTTGCTAGCACTGTGATTTGTATTATTGTCATCACTGGCACTTGCCAAACTACTGGTTGAACCCTGACTTGGTGACCGTGGCACATGCAAGAGGGTTGAACTCCGTCTTCTCTGATTTGCATCTTGCGAACAATTGTTTGGTATTTTGATTACGCAACGTTTGTGATAGTTCATACCACATCCTGAAACGAAAGTCCATTGCAGAAAATGGATTATAGATACTTCATCTTCTGTCAAGTGGACGCATGCATTTTAAAGTAATTACCTTCACATTTTAGTCCTTGTCGGACAAGGCCAAATAACATCTCACCACAAAAGTCGCAAAATGCTGGTGCTTTATACGAATGAACTGTTAGAGCATGGGGACGTATGGGAACTTCTTCACTTGGCACTTGAGCTGTGCAATAATAATAAAATGCTTGAATGCATACTTTAAACTATTAGAATCAGCTGCATCGACATCAGTTGAAATTCAACTAAGGATTAAATGCCCAATTCAGATATCTAATTGTTAGATGTTCCATTTGATCCTTCGTTAAATTTTAATCAAAGTCAATGCTCCTATCTCTTAGAAGTGACACTTGACTAACTTTACGTAGATATTCAAGTATATCTTTGTCATCATTGCTATCATAATATCTTTGATGAAAATATCTTACCTGTGAGTACAATCTCCACTAACGTTTCATCAACCACTTCAGTGGCATTTGTAATGAGCTGTAGTATATTTGTTGAGTTATAATCATGCTTGAACAACAGTAATCTTTCGTTGAGCTGACTCAAGCCATGATCGGGACACTTGGTGTTGATAAAATCACAGGCAAAATCTTTGAGGGCTTTCAATGTCAAAGCACTGGCTTCAACCGTAACAGTATCACGAATTAATCCAAATTGAAAGAGGAACGTGACCTCTGGTCCCTCCATGATTACCTGAGTCCAGTCCACTAGAAAAATTACATTAAAAATTAGCTTATTAAATAAAAAAATACGTTTTAATTTTATAATCTCATACAAATACATTAGCTAATCTGTTACATATACAACAAATATATTTATACCTTTCTTATACCAACGCTGTGCTTTATTTCTGTGTCGTTTCATTTTTGTAAAGATTTTAATATACCTTTAAATCCGTCTGAATCAAAAGTTTAAATATTATAATCAAAACTAAAAACTACATCAATCATAAAACATGATTTCAAAATCTAGCAATCTAGTCACCGACTAAATGAAAAAAACAATTCAATCATGGTATCAGCAATTAATGTATTAATACAGAATTATCACCACTAATATCATCAGATTTTGTGCAGGATAAAACAACAATTAAATAATCCCAAGATAAAAGAACTCAATCTATCACCATTATCTTACAATCACGTTTCAAATAATGATTACTCAAATAAATTCATTACATCTGAAATTACTGGCAATTATAAATATATAAAAAACTTCTGCATTGTAAATTTGATATGATAACATTCCATTGCAAAAGAGAAACGATAAACTATATTAAAATTGTTTGAACAGACGTTAGCACAATGTTTTATATTGGACTGAGCCCCTTTTAGAAGCTCGTTCGAATTAAACAGGACGTATTAAAACGAGCACGGAGTCGTCAATGTGACAAAAACTAAAGGGGTTCGACGAGTGGCACAAGCAGCTGTGATAAAACGTATATAAGAAGACTATTTGATTCTCGTCGGCCAGGAAACCAAGGATGAATAAATCGATTAAAATTTATCAGCGAAATTTCAAATCGGACGGAATAGATTATCCTCATAATTGACGACAAGAAATAAAAAAGCAAAATACTAATCATTAAGAAGAAACAGCAACAAAAACAACGAATTGTAATCAGTTATTATATAGTTGATCCATTTCTATAATAATTATCATACAAGACAATATCCACATCATATAAAACATACAAGAAAATCTAATTTTTAACGTTCTATTATGTACATAATTAGCATTACTCATTTAGCAGTTGTACTGAAAATATTATATAAAAAATTAACACAACTTGATGCACTTAGGCAATTTTAAATTTACAACTGCCAAATATTTCTTGTTAAATTTTAACACACAATCGACTATGTCCACTATAATTTTTCTCGAATTAACATAATGTATTTACATTGGCATAATACTTTCTTATGTAAAACACACAATTCGGATTGTTATTATTTCCACATATAACAAAAGAGAATCGATTATGCATTTATTGTGGAATAAAAGTATTATCTTCCCTCGATTCTACGGCGTCTGGTAAACCAAGTAAATATATTGGAACTGGATGAGTAAGGTAGATATAAAAAGGATTGCCGCACCCGGCTTAATGTTATAGAAGAATAAGTGCAAAACATAACAGAGAGGAAGAGATATGCACGCATGCACGCACATAATCTTCCGCAAGAATAAAGAATCTCGATCAGCGTAAGAGGGAGCATCTAGGTCGTCTTTAAGTAAGTCAATTATCTTCTGATGGATCCAGCTGTTTGATTTTTAATTTACGTAATAAGCGTTAATGCATAACCGCAGTAAACAGGATCAGCAGAGCATAGGTAATTAATCAAAATTAAATAACAAGTGTCATTAATTTAGCGTTCACAGCCAAGGAGGAAGTAAAATGACAAGCAAGCAAAAAAATACTCCTTGAAAACGAACCAGAAAATGTGCCACGCGTGACGGTGAAAGTGACAAGAACGTTAAAGCAAAATGATCAAAGCCTAAAATAAAAATACATATGTAATTGCAAGTTATTACTAAATCTCTACGTTAAATTAATTAGTACCTGTTTACATTTCGGTACCTACTTTATTATAATTGCCACTGTAGTTCCTGGTTACACGATGACAGTCACGTCCGTTGAATTTTTTTTAACAGGTAACTTTACACAGCAAAGCAACGACTTTTTTTTTACAAAATCTCAAAAAATAAGTTGAACGCGATGCCCGAGGCAATTAATTAAAAGAGAATAAGCAACGTAGTTGATTTTAAAAACTCGCGTGGAGGCTACCAGAATAAACATCCCAAGAGATAATACAGATGAAGGCGTCACGATTATTTATTTCCAGGCTGATTTGCTTTGAGAAGTAATATATGTATATTTGGTGTAATTAAATAATTGCATGCAGATTACGCATGCACACTAAAGTCACTACCGATCGTGCCGGCTTTACGATGTCACGTATGTTCTGTATTTTAAATGATTTGCTTCACTATTGTATCCAGGAGTTAGTGACGACGGTAACGATGCATGCGGTCGTAGAGGTAATACTGGCTGCGTCAAAAGTACTCTGACACACATAGATGGCCAATGTAAGAATTTTACAGTTATCTCACGGAGCCCGACCCACCTTGCTCTCTGGTAGCAATGTACGACGTGTCTGGGAGCGTTACTCGCAAAACTTCTGCTCACCCACTGGACATTCCTGAGTTCAGGATGGTCGCGCCTAAACGGCCAGTGCTTCCCCTATGGTCAGAGTATTGTGTATAGGTATATACTTCTTTTAAGAAGCACTGCATATATTGCACTCCCTTCTTGTCGATATGATCATCCCGTTATGTATCTGATAAGTCACGATAATTTATTTAAACTTTAACAGGAATGTTGGTTCCGAATATCTATGCTAGCCACTGACATAGCGACTTATGATTCTCACTACTCAACGCTAAACTCACTGCTACTTCTGACGATGGTACCGTCATTGACTTCGCCATCGCCATCGCCACCATCGCCGACGCCATTGTCGTCACATAGTTGCCTCCACCATCTCTACTGTCACCTTCCGTACTGCTTACACTGCCACCTATCTTGTGTTTTTATCACTTTTGGTACAGCATCTTGTATCTCGAATTGTTTTTTTTTTTGGACATTTTGTTTTGTGGATTGTATGTAGTTTGCTTAAATATTGACCATTTTTTTGGGACAATGTTGAATGTTTTGAAAATTCGTATTGTATTTCATTTAGTTGTGCAATAGAATAGCTTATACCTTGTTTCTTTGATATTGCGTATATGAGTTTGTGGTAATTTGACAGTCTGACCTAATTTTAAGACAGGCTTCAATAAATAATTCTATTCATAATTTGCATTTTGTTTCAATGCCTTAATAGTTATATTCATTTATTGTCATACAGAAACAAAGGCATGAAAGAAAAGTATAAACAGTTTGCATAGACATTTTAAGGTATCGGGTGATATATTTTATGATTCCACAGACTTGGCTGCAGTTTCAATGAAATTTGCCAATTTCACATCCCTCTTAGATAATCCATTTACATCATGAGATGACAAAGTGATTTGTACTTTGTTGTAAACATTAAACCACTCTGGATGATGATCCATTTTTTCAGCTTGTAATGCTACTCTGGACATAAAACCAAAAGCCTGTAATTGAAATAATATTAATTATATTGTATCAACTCTTGATTACAATAACGTCATTATAATTAATTACATCAATACTTTTGTATTTATACATCTACAAAGATGGGACACAGAATAATTATCTTTACCTGATTGAAATTTCCAAAGATAAATTCTTTGTAAATTGCATCCCTTGTTGGCTGTACCGTCCATCCGTTATTTAATATAGGTTTAAGATCATTTTCTCTTTCTTCTGCGGTAAGTTTTCCCTAAAATTATATATGAATCATCAAACATAAAACTTGCGCGTGATTCAAACGATTGACATTTTTGTTTATTAACAAGATTCAAAATAATCACCGTATACGGAGGCTACGCGTTATAACATAATTTTCGAAGAAAAAGTGATACTCCTTATCATTCAATTATCGCAGTTTTATAATTATCCAAAGGTTACGAAATTCTCTTTCCTCCTTTCCTTTCCTTTTCTCTTACACAATTACGAAATATCGATTGTCTACATAGGCGGGCAAGTACACCCATTTACATTTATTTATATTACGTTCAAAAAATGGTATTTAAAATAGTAAATTTAGATTTAAGGAATGCAAAGAATATCGGCTCTTTGTGCGAATTGTTATTTCGTATTCTTTTAATTATAAATGGATATCCTACTCCAACAAGTGTCCGACCGTAAGTACATATTACGCGTAATTAATAAGTAATGTATCGTAAATGTAATTTAAAATTAATTTACGTTAATAATCAAATTTACAGATTATTCGTTGTGGTTGACTAGTTACTGTATCATATTAAAATCTTACCATTTTAATTTTTCGTGAAGCAACAGATGCTGTACTCCTTTCGACACTTTTAACCAGCGAAACTGGTCGAATTCTCCCACTACTCAGGATCCGATGCAACATGGCTGCCATACCGAGTTAACCTCACAATACTTTTTTGTTTTAATTCTTGACGAACTAGTTAACGATACCAAATATAGGTTATTTTATGATTTTCCTCAATGACTCAAGGTCTTACGTAGGCAACCTAGAGGAGACGGAAGAAATTTTCTTTCTTTGAATAACCACGTATTATACCAAGTTGATGCACAAGCGTATTCGCGTACCTTATCAGAATTCGCAAGAATAAAATAGGAGAATGTTGAATTAAATTATTTTTAGATTCATTAACATTAAGTAGTACATTATTAATTTATACTTTATTGTAGATTTTTAATGGCTACCCATGACGATGCGGCAGAGCAGTAACAAAACCACTGCCTGATCTTATCAGGGTTCAACAGTATAGAATATATATGAATTGATTTGAAATTTTGCAAAACAACATGCTTATCGTTTATTTATTTTTGACATATTAGGTGAATATGTTATGTTAAACAGTAATATAATTATTGTAAAGTAATTTGTAGAACTTGTACCTGTGTTAGATGATGTATTTGTCGAGTTATCAACAAATAAATTATAAAATACAAATATAAATGTACATATTTAGGTGAAATTTTATTTCTATTGAAACATGATTCGCTTATATAATTTACTTTTTCCTGCCTTTTTTGAATGTAACTAATTTTGCGGGTAAGGGAAGCTTTAAGACAACTACACTTTTATCACTTTTCAAAGGTACTGCACCAAGCACCCTCGCAAGATCTGTCAGTCTTTTGCTACTTATCCGAATGTTTACTATACTGCTGAATACTTCAATATTCAAGCTAAAGTTCAATATCGATAGACCTAAAACCATACAGTGTAGTATGGCTTTATCCCTCATACTGGTTGGTCGTTGCCTGAAATAAAATAATTTGTTAAAGATAAACTTCAAAAGTATATTGTATTCGTATTAAATACAAATATTTATCATCATACCTGCCATGGGCGCTTGACATACTGTAAGACTCTATTATATGATCATTTATTAGCCTCGAATACGGACATATTTCCACACCACGTTTTTTCGCATCTTTTATTGGCATATTCAGCCAAGTCGCAACACAATCAATATATAATAAAAAGGCAACTTTTACAATACTCTCCGATTGCTTCTTTAGATAGTTCAACGTTTCCGTAAAGAACTTGGATCTCCTAAAAGAGTAACAATATAAGATATAAAAATTAACTCGATATTTGGAAATAAATAAAAAAGAAATGCATACCCTTTTACATTGCTTTCTAATACATCAGTAGCCGCCTCATATAAAGTTTCTAATTTGCTTTCAGGAACAATTTCATATGGATTGTATATTTCTGATTCTGTGCTGGCATTCCTGTTGCATGTTGGTACATTTGTATTCCCTATCGATTCATCATTTACAGATGGCAATGTGAGATCTGCTTTATCAATTTCCACATCTGCAAAACAAAAAGAACTTTCCATACAGTGTTGCAAAAAATAGTATATGATACGCAGGCGTGCGGATTGGTGATTCCTACTCGTGTGACACTCGTGAAACGTCACACTCGTCAGGAATCACCAATTTCCCGCACTTGCATCATAATGTACTATTACATAACTAAAATACTGCATTAATTACTTTCATAGAACTCATACAAAAATTTAAGAGTTTCAAATATTTATACAATAAGTTATGAACTCTTATAAGGGTGTAATATAGAAATCTTACTTGATACAGTCTTCTCAAGCTGTTCTTTTACAGATTCAACATTTACTTTCATTCTTTCGTATTGCTCCGTTCTACGTTTCATTCTTTTAGATCCAAACTGCTTATTAAGCAAGGCAACTTCATCACCACGTGAGATGTCCTCGGTGTTATTTTTACTATCTAGAATAGGCGAAACTTGCCAACGTTCTGCTTGAATCAACCGAACCTTTCCAGTTCTTTTGTTATGTATTGCAAGCATCGTGTACATTGGTTCTTTATTAAGATCAGGTCTATAACCACTGTACACAATCCGACCATTTGATAAAGCAAGCATTCTGTTCTTTTGGCTTTCATCATAAAAAATATCACACTCCATCTTTTTTGCTTCTGCATCCTTAAGTTCCCCATTTTGAAAATTTACTGTTAGCATAAATTAAATATTATAGACATAATAAGTTATATGCAATAATAAAATTTTTATAAAATCTTTTCGTACCAATAATCGGTTGAATTTTACTTGGTTGAATCCGCACATCGTCAATAACAGCTTCATTTGGCCGTTTCATATTTTATTATAATTATTTAATTGTAAAAGAAAAGTGTATAATTCACATGCACCTTGTCGCATCAGTCCACGTGCGCCGTTAAAACTATCACCACCATGAAGTGACATAAGAGTCAACTGGAGTCGACTATAAATCGACTTACGGCAATGCAATGCTGCCTTAAAATAGTAAAAAAACAAATAGCAACACAAAAATTCGATTTAACTTTTGCTTAGCACTTATAACTACTAAAAGTTATCTGACGATACTGACGAACATTTTCGATTTGATTATAATTCTAAAGGAAAAGGTTCATCATATTAAAAAAATACATTTCATTTCTTACTGTTGGCTAATCTGCATTCGCGAGTTATCAGGAGTCGGTAACCGGTAACGTATGAAGTAAGCCAACTTCACTGCCACGTAAATAAAGAGCGTGTCAAAGAGAGCGAACCCGAAACTTTCCTCGAGTATTCTTGAAAATCAAGAAAAATAAAGGTACGGCACAAAGCATAACCAGCAAAAGAAACACACCGTTCAATATTATCTATATTACTCATCACCAATGTTCATTACAATGTAAATTTTACGAAATCAAACGTTGCATACCACAAATGAATTTTCACCACTAAAACTCATCTAATTGTTCCAGATGATAACCGACGTACAGCTGGCCGTCTTTTGCAACATTTTGGGTGTCAGTCTCTTCTTCCTAGTCTTTCTATTTCATTATATAAACGCCAATTATTCGAAATAAACGTTATAAAGAGGTTAATGCATACGACCGTAACCTCAAAAACTTAATGGCAGAAGATATTCGCTATAATGGTTTCAAAAAAAGTTCATACGTTTCCACGATGTATATTAATTTTTAAAATACACCAGTAACATATTAAATCCGTTAATTTATTTTTTCCTAATACAAACTACAAGAATTCGAAGATTTATTGTCATAATGAAATACATTAAGCGGTATCAAGAGATCACCAAGCTTGTGCACACAAGAATTTATGGTAGGGGAATCCCTTCCTTTGGACGTCGAGGTCGAAAGCGAAATGGTTACGCGGTATTTCTTAAATGTCGCTGACGACGATTAGTGCTAGCAACACCGTGGATAATCATATCACGTGGAAAATATATTTCACTAATCGCACTAATATTTACTGTTTCGCAAATTTCCTTAATATCCACGAATCTCATTTTGTACTATATGAAAACCGCCTTAACTGTTTAACGGTCAATATTGTAAAATCAAATTCCCACATAACTAGTGCGTGGATATTCTTTGTTTTAATTATACTATTGTTCATTTTCTTTACTTGTACGCCTTATGTATTACAATTGGCTTGTGTAGCCTTGCTGTGACGTTAACCCGCCTCTAGACGACCGGAAACTGTTCTACATATACAGTGTATTTCAAGAAAGAGCATCCGCAAGTTATTCACGCATGGAGTGGAGAAGAATCGTTTTTTAAGCTTTGTGATTCAAGTCTAGTTCCCACTTTATTTGTGTTTACCAGCTTTTATCATTCGATGTAAAACAAAAATGTAAATACACGGTGAGCTTTAAAATTGCATCTGATCGTAAATATCACGTAAATTGGTAGGAATAGCAGAAATATTAAGTAACAATAGACACCTCGTGTCATATAAAAATTAATTTATCAGAATTTTTTATTCATACTAATTAATATTTAATTTTCTATCAAATCTCGCTAAACAAACAGTTAACGAAACATTAATTCATTACAAGGGCAAGATATCAATCAAAATTGAAACATTCATTTGTTAAGTGTTATCATTCAATGATTTCTAATAATAATTCAATACGTTTGACGATTAATATAGTTTTTACGTGTATCGCTACAATCAAAAGGAAGAAGAGAAGTTAAACAACGAATTTATAAAGAATAAGAAAATTCGGTGGTACTACAGTTAAACGATGAAAATTTTAAAAAATGATATAATGATACATACAAAATAATGTATATCTGTATGATTTTACTGTTAACCGTCGTGTCGCCTACTTCCGTTTCTGGAATGACATTTGAAGAAGCCGCTCAAAAAGCACAATGTCTCTCCAAGTGTGTCGACGTAAGTAATGTTTATTTCCAATAGTAATACATGTGCGCGATAATAAGTGGCAAAGTCATTAGCGAAAAATAAATAATTACCCGTTATAATCATTCGTGACTAATAACTGTATTGTCGTGTAATTTTCCATTATACTTATCTGTTTTGCATTTTGTCAATATAAACCTGTTTTACTTTCTATCTTACCGATCCTTGATCAGTATTACTAATGAAAAAAAAGGAAATTTTTTATTCACACATTATATAACATCACTGTAATAATATATTTCGATCCAAAATATACCTAATCCTACTTTAAGTTTGAATATTTTTAAGTAATCTATGGTAATACTGATGCATGCAAAATTATTATTATACATATGTATATATATCTACAAATATATACAATGTGATAAACGATCATAAAATTTGATGAGGCAGTTACAGAAAGAGAAAAGAAATCTTACAAACCTACTGAAGAACATTCTACGATTATGTCGTTGAGTTGGAACACGTTCGATACTTAAATTTTGAGTTTGTTCAATTTCTTTCTTTTTTTCTTTTATAATCATGAAATAAAATTAAAAATAAATAAATATATACATAAAATAAATTCAAACTAACGTATAATATAATAAAAATTATATAAAATCCGAATGAAAGATTGTCATACAATTTCATGTGTGTAGAATAAGTTTTACTTTTTTCTGACGAAGAGTAAAAACAACTTTAATCAAAAACTAGATTATTACCGATGAGAATTGGTTAGCCGGTACACGATGTTTAAAGAGTGTCATAAGTTTTTATCTTTGTGTAGTACAATTGCGTAGTGCTCACTGAACTACAGACTACCTGAAATAAGAACTATGGATATTGGTGATCGGGTTGTCCTGTTGGGAACGGATCACTGACAAAATGGGGATGGCTGTCACTCTTACACACTAGGCTATTGAAAATAGAGTTGCATGGACAAAAGTTCCATATTTGCATGGTCGGTTCGAAAAGAGTGCTTCTTTCCAGTTATTTCTTGAAACTGCTCTTATTTCTTCTTCTTCTTGTTCCTTGTGGCTTTATGCCCTCGTAGAGGGCCAAGTGCCAGTCTCTAATTTCAGGTAGTCCATAGTTCACTGACAGTGCCTATTAATGTTTCTTAAGCTGGCACATCTCCTCATTGGATGAGGGAGCCATAAGGAAAGGAAGGAAGAAATGTTTCCTAAGAGCACTGCCATGAGCAGAGCCATGGGTCTCTCAATCCCGCGCGAAGGCACACCTGCTGCTCTAGTTTATTAATAGTAAACTGATAAGCCTAAATAAATTTATACTTTTGTAAATCCAACGAAAGTTTGAACAAGTGCTATTGACTTCTCGTGCGAGAAGGAGACGTAAGATTTTAGTTGCATATTATAAAAGGAACGGAACGAAACGCTTTGTAAACAAACGAGTGCGCATGCGCGATCGACTATACGTTTGCCTTACTCTTTTCTCGCTTCGCTTTACCTCTTTTTGTTTTTTTCGCAAGGCAAATACGAAGCCGGACGAGAATATCGTTATACATGATGCATGCCGAGAACTTGAATTACAATTTAGAGCGGTCGAACGATATCGATCTGGGATCGACTCTCCGCGCAGAATATTTATTAATCGTTGAGCAGTGTCAAACTTGTTTTTCCGACTGTTTACATACGAATATAACGTTAGAATACTTAACCGCCATTTGCTGCAATGGTGCAAATCGCATAAACAATTTCTCGTCAATATCTGCGTGAGATCGGTCACGATCAATCACGATCAGCAGTCACGATTGATCTGGATACGGTACAAAATAGTCAGATACATTTTAGAAGCAATGCTAAAACATATCAATCTGCTCGTTACGTTTCAGCAGTGTTTCTAAAACCTGTATGTATTGAAATTAACCATACTGACAATTTTTCATAAACGTATTTTTGACTCTAAAACTTCCAAATGACCGGTCGATGGTACCGGTTAGTGTTAAATTTCGTATGATATGGATCATGATCGATTAGATCTTCGGGCAGATCATCAATTTTTGCCATTCGTTTTATAATATTTATTGTTATATCTTGTTGCCTATACTAGGCGCGAGATTTTTTCGAGTCTATTTGATTTTAGATTATGAGAATATTTGATTTGCAGGAATCTTGCTGGAAAGATTGCGAGGAAATCGGTGACGATTTGTCTGGTATGTATCGTGACGATGGATAAAAATAACATGGTTAATTTATTTTAAATTGTCATTAGGCGTCTCAAGGATTTTTTTTGTCTCGCCTTTATTTATAGCATAAGTATCAAATACAATTATTAAATACACTTTGCGAAACGGTATAGAATATTTATACATATTTTTGACTATTTGAATGTCATATTTTCGATATCCGACGATAAAACTGGCGGATTATTCGAATAAGTATATCGTGGTCGTAATTTTAATCTGATGTAACATATGTAATACTGAATTCTTACAACTTCGTAGAAACAGTCATGAATTATTGAAAGTAAAGAATTTTATATATTCAGACTTCATTTGGGTACTACAACACATATATTTTTTTTATAGGTATTATTTTTTTGAAAGAAAAAACTGCTGCTAATGTTCGCGTTCATTGTGCCGGTCCAAATATTTTGATGATTGCGCATGATCCAGGATTATACGTGATTGAGATAAATGATCAAAATGAGTCTTGGACGGAGGCATATGTCGTGAGTTTTCTTTTCTTGCTAATTTTCATTTAAAAAAACCTGAAATCAAAAAGAATACTAAATTTACACTGGCTATGAATATATTAAAGATCCTTACCCTCTCGTTTCACAGAAAAATGGTACAGTCTCGACATTCGGAAATTTATCAGCGGATACAAGTTATGCATTTCACTTGCATAAGGTTAAGAAGAACGGTTTATATCAGTCGGAAGTAACGCCATGGTTCTCTACAGAAAAAGGTAGATAATTTGTTGTGATTATGTTATTTTCAAATTTATCCATCTACAGGATTATCCAGGCGAAGTAACCAGTGTATGACAGGGCCAACTTCAGTTGATTCGTCTCTACCGTATAACCTCGTATGCATTAATGGATTTCGTTTCAGTCGATTATAAACCTGGACCGGTGAGAAATATTTCGGTAAAAAACTTTATGGCGGACGACACTGACGTAAAACATTTGCAGGCTGAAATTGTATTTGAGCCAGAGGAAAGTGAGTTTACACAGGAATAACTTAAGGGTTATGAGAGAATTCATTGAAGTGTATTTGTTACATTTCAGAAGCCAACTGCTATTTCAGCATTACTATACATCCTTTTTCAAGACACGACATTATGTACATTATGGAGGTAATGTTAATAATGAAAAACTCTTTTTTAATACCTATACAAACGTCAACGAGACAAAGTTGATATAAGCAGATCAAACCACGTTAGGTTGTGACGTTGATGATTTTAAATTTTACCGAACACTTGTGAGACTCAAATCAAATATACTTTTCGTTTCATTTGTCTGGTTGATAAATTTTATGGTCTCATTTTCGTATTGACGAAACAAATTTTGTTGACAGCCCACGGAATTTCGAAGCATCGTAGAGGGATTACGTTACAACACCAATTATACAGGAAACATAACGTCCTATCCAAGTAAAGATATATGGAACGTGGACGAACCAAATAAACATGACTATTGGTTTATGACGCCTTTATGTTTGGATATACAAAAGAATACAAGTGTCTGTCGTGAGTATTGGCGCGAACTACAAAAAAGTTATATGAGTATCTGTCGTGAGTATTGGCGGGAATTACGAAAGTATAATTGTAACTTCTTTTCAATCAGCTCCAGATGATGTCAAGGGATTAGATGCGAAAGTCAAGTGGAACGGAGAATCTTCCGACATTATTGTTTGGTGGGAAAAATCCAAAATTCAACCAGAATTGTATCACGTGGAGATTGAATGGCGGAAGGGTTACGAGAAATACAATACCGATTTAACAGTGCCAGGGGTAAGGAGAAAACTGTGATATTTTTTTCTTTATAATATTTAGCTTCTCTTTATTTAATAGTTTTTCTTATTCATCAATATAGAATACGACTGAGGTTTTCTTTCCTGACGTTGGCGTTCGCGCCGATTCTTCGTATCGAGTTGTCATCGTCGCGGAATCCAATGGTCGACGCACTGTGCCATTGGAAATTAATAGAATGGTGAATAACGTTTCAGGTCTGTTTACCGCACACATATGATTTTTTTTTTCGTCTTATATCCTTCATTTGCGCAGTATCCATCCGTATCGTCATAACTCACTGGACTCGTGAGACTAAAATTTTTGTTCCTTTTTTCTTTCTGGGATTTCAGTAGACACTCCTTATTCTGTATACATTGGGATCGCTATTATACTTTTGGTAATCGCCTTATTAATGACGACTGGAAGTGCATATACGTATTGCAGATACGTGAGGAGAAAACGATGCAAAAAGAAAGTAATATATTTCGAAGTGAGTTCTTTAAAAAATGACGTATGTGTTTATTAAAAGTAAAAATGTAAAAAAAGTATGCATTGACGTATGTCGGTTACTTTATTCGTTTTGACGTTCTTTTCAGACTTTCAAGAAAAAGGATGGGAATTTTGAAACAGAAAAGGACAAAATAACGTCCGACTATATGACTGAAATTAATGAAAAGCTACTGGTCGATGAATATGAAGTGGAAACAGATAAATTGCAAATCAAACAAGTATTAGGAAGTGGCGCTTTTGGAGTGGTGAGACTTGGAACAATGCTTGATAAATTTGATCAAGAAATCGATGTGGCGATAAAAATGTTAAATGGTTATAATTCATTTTTATTCATTTTTTATTGGCTCTTATATATCGATTAAATCTTTATGTGTCATAGAATCTCCGTAGTCGATCTGCCATTAAGGCTTGAATTGTCATATTCTTCTTTTGTTTCCTCAGAGAATCCAACTGCTGATGATGTCAGTAATTTTCAACAAGAAATTATGACTATGAAGTTCACTGGCAAACATCCAAATATTGTATCATTTTTGGGATGCTGCACAATAAATAGTAGCCCTATGCTGATAGTGGAATATTGTTCTCGCGGTGATCTGCAAAGTTATCTCAGAAGGGTATGCAGGTTATTAATGAAATATTCACAGGATGAATAAATTTAATGTTTTTTTTTTATTTCCATAGGCGTGGGAAGAAGTGGGAGTTTGTACGATACGAAACAAAAATGAGTGGCTAGTGAATGCAGACGCATTCTTTAAAAGTAATCTAATCAATATTAAAAATATCGAATAAGACGAATGATCTTGTGTCTTATAAAACTTGTTTTCATTACAGGAATTAATAATTTTGATAATGAAGTTTCTAATTGTCTTTACGATCTTGATCAAGGTACGGCAGGAAACTGTTTAAAATTCAAATAGCTATTAGTAAATATAAAATACAAATTTGAATATATATATTAAATCAAATGATTGGACAGTGTAATCAATTATACCTTACGTATGAAATTTGAACTGTTATTAATTTCAAATACTTTTGTAGACATGCTGAGAAACGTGGAACCGATAACAGCGATGGATTTGCTTAATTTCGGACGTCAGGTTGCCATTGGAATGGTGAGAACGTTTCATGAATAAATCATAATAAATGCTAATACGCAAGATTCGTTATTGTCAAGGTAATAATTAATGATTCTCTGAATTGTCTGTCCTAGGAATTTCTTTCATTGAATCGCATAGTTCATCGAGACTTGGCAACGCGCAACGTACTAGTCAGTGGAGACAAAACGGTCAAAATATCTGATTTTGGTCTGAGTCGTGATATTTACCAAGAAAACATTTATAGAAAACAAGGGAACGGTCGATTGCCAATAAAATGGATGGCTATTGAGTCCCTGACTCATCAAGTCTACACAACGCAAAGCGACGTGTAAGTATTATTTAATTTTCACTCTATTAAAATTCTCCATATGCCATACTTTAACGTATGATTCACCTTGTAGATGGTCCTTTGGTATTTTGCTATGGGAAATAGTAACCCTGGGCGGCAATCCATATCCAGGAACACCGACAAACAGAGTACTGAAGCTTCTTCAATCGGGATACAGAATGGACAAGCCAGAAAACTGTGGAATTGAATTGTGGGTAACGGAAATTAAAATTGAGACAAATATATATATAATTAATTCATCACTATTTTACCTAAGATATCAGATAATGCTGTCGTGCTGGAACGAGAATCCACGATGCAGACCAAGCTTTACCGAATTAAAAGAAAATCTTGACAAACTGCTGGGTACCCTTTCTGAAAAAGAGTATCTGACTCTCATAGGCAATTTTCCTGGGGCTGACGAAAGTTCTGCATACGAGGAATCGTCGTCGGATGATGAGACTGAGGATTTTCGAAAATCGCCAAAGTTACGGTTACTCTCGCCCATGCGTTACGTCAGCGAGCTGCGCAGTGACGATGCGCAGATAACCGATTTAACGCGGATCACTTGACATTTCGAATAAATTCAAATGACAGAAACGTTTAAATTGAATATGTAAAACACGTTACACTGTATCATTCCATTAATAGTGAATAGTACGTTGATACACAAATATAAATAAGTCTAATGTATTATCCCAAAGAATTAACTCTAAGCACTGTATTAAAGTGGCACAGTTTTCTCGTCGAGTCAGCACTTTCGCGAATGACACTTTTTTTTCTTTGTAACAAAACAAGACGCGTTTAATAAATTATTATCACACGCAACGGAAACTCCTTATATAACTTTATTAACTTTATACTGCACTAGATCAATATTTTCAATGAATTACATATTTATAAAAGAAAATTTCAGCCTCGTTAAACTTTAGCCTGCTGGCTATTTTTATTCTTTCGAATCTAAATACTCTTGAGAATACATAAGCATCTAGACTATCAATTACCAAAAGTTTAACTAGTACCTCAGCACCACTATAAAGACTTCCGGCAGCCCAAAAACTAACTGAAACGCTTAAACTTATAAATAATGAAAATTTATATCATGTGCAAAATCGTTTATTCCGTAATCACTTATACGTACAATAATCTGTGGTATAATTGTATATTTATATATATGTGTATGGTATATATTTATACTTATATACAATATCTCACTTTCAATCTTAGAACGAAAAAAAAAAAGAAAAGAAAGAGCTCATAAGGGAAATATATGAAAACAGCTACAAGGCTTTCATCGATAGGTATCGTCAAAAATGTAGGTAATGATTTATAATATTACAAAATAGTACAGTATCGTGTATAATAATAATAATAATACACGTATCGAATAAACGATTATCGTTCCCATAGTCCGCTTAAAGAAATTGTCTATTACCGGATGTGTTTCTTATTTGTGAATCGACGAGTCCAGTCGATAAGTCTTAGGACTATATTTATATTATATATAGATATACAAGAGATATCGATATTTTGTATATCGACTGGATTTATAGTAACCGAAAACGACCGAAGGAATTTGAAGCAAGAAACATGTCGCTTCTTTTTATTTTGTTTAAAACCCTAATGCATTGCCATTAGGACAGGAACTTCCTCTTTTCCGTTTATCTTATTGGCTGACTCGTCGATTTCTGGCGTCGTTAATTAATCGTTTATCGATGCGTTCGTAAAGCATCGCCCAATAATAACATAAATGGCAAGTGGACGATAGACAAGATGGCGAACAAACGGCAAAGCTTCTTGTTAATTAAAAAAAAAAATATATTCCCTTCTTATTCTCGTGTATTCTCGGACTCTAAGACTTTCGCGACTTTAACGCTTTGTTAATTCGCTCAAATAATTAATAAATGATATGAGGCGGTCGCTGTGTACGTTTTATATATGTAAAAAATATATATGTAAATATCAAAATCCGTCGCATTCTGCGAAAACAAAATTTTTAATGTCGTATTATGTACATAGATGCTAAATGTGAAATCTTTGCAATTTTTATGCTTTTTACGTCTGACGTTTTGCACAGAACCGTTGTAAGGAAATTTCATAATTTTTCCTTAAGTTTGAACAATTACTTTATGGTTCGTGGTGAAGGATAACAAGAGAAAGGGAGGTAAGTTAAAAAAAAATTAAATCCACGTTTGCCGTTAGAAATGATTAAATTCATAGACACGTATAAATTCGTAGAACCTTCTATGAACTTTGCAAATAAATTTTGTTCAGTATGCAAAACAGGATTTAACTGTTAATCTCATTTCATAGTATTGTATTCGAAAGTTTTGGATTATTAATGTAAACCGAGCTGTCAGGATCCGACAATAATAATACGCAGAATTACGAGGGTTTACAACGCAGCCATTATATTTTCGGTTTATTTTAAAACAGCTGGAATGTATGTATTTAGTCTTCTGAAAATGTTTTTTTTTTCCCCTTATTTTTCATAAATACTAATTCAATTAGACCTCATATCTCATATAGATTCTCTTTATCGTTTACGTGTTATCACGGATTATGTACAAAGATGCTGTGCTACTAACCAACGTATTTTAATAGTTTTTTTTCTTATTAACTACTTCTTTTCCAACGAACGCACCATAGTATTTATAGCATGCTTAATGTCTGCCCTCGTCTGAGAGCTAAGGTTACCTTTTATACTGAATTCACGATATTTGTGTCGCAAGCAACATTTTTACACCGGGGAATAAATAATTCAACGATCGACATACGTACTGGTACGTTCCCTTTTCATTTTTCTTTTTTACCTTCTCTTATAACGCATTCAAATCCTCTTAGTCGATGACTCTTGTTGAGACTTCTAAGTACAAGGACACATCTACGCGTTTAAATCGCTACCTCACGACTTCAATGCGGGTAGACAAATTACGCGCAATTTCCTGACTGTATTGACTGGCTAGTAATGACCTATTAAATGTTTCGCAATGATGCAAAATAGTAACAGTAAAAAAAAATCAGAGAAACGTTATCAAAAGTTGTCCCGATTCAATGCAATGTTTCACTTTCATTGTTCGGCGATGCTCTTATATGGGATAAAGTAGTTGCTTATCGGAAATCACAGATGACGCTGTTTATTACACTGGTTTAATCGACCGATACGAACCTTCTTATTTCGATGAACTGCTATCGTCTTTTTTGAAGCTTCTGACGCTATCCGTATCAAATACTGTCGTTCCTGTTGAGTAGATTGTCATCCTTGTCAACTGGAGGAGGTCCTGAGGTAATTGTTGTGCTGGGACCTGCCGTTAAATAACCTGCAGACACTGGGGTACCAGCTGGACACAAGAAATATAAAGTAACAATAATTCATAACAGTGAAGAATTACTTATTTGACATAGTCCTATTACTCGAACTTTCAAGTACCTGTTAGATATCCAGCAGTTGGTGTATTTGAGATAAAGAGATCGTGTCTTTGATCCTTATACTCTGCCCATACACTCGACTTCTCTAATATGGCATTAACCTTCTCACCCAACAATGAACTCTTCGCCATTGCTTTTAAAGCTTTTACTATTTGTGCTTTTGTCATTCCAGGATTGTCGATTAGATCAAGTCTTCCTTCCAGAAGGTTTAGAAGGTAAGGTACCATCTCTGCTTCCAATGCCTGTAAAAATACTGAATGTTAGTCTAATTAAATATTTACCAGTAATTTAAACAGAGGTTAATCAAGCACCTGTTTAACGAGCCTGTCTTCATTGGTTGAGAATAATCTATTCAGCGTCTCACATGCAACTGCTATCATATCTCTTCTTGATTGCATAGCATGCTTCAAGGGACTTATACATTCTGTCTGGCATATCGATGATATGCAAATCTGTAATACAATTAATTAAAATAGTACAAACTATGCCTTTATTACAATAAAGGATTAGGAACTGGCAGAAGTTACCTCACTGGATGCTAATTGATGCATTATCAATATGGCTGATTTATAAACTGGAGGTTGACTGTGCTGTGTTGCCATCTGCCGGCATAATCTTGGTATGTGACCTAAAGAAGGTACTTGGTCTCCAAGTGACGGCTGAGCTTGCAGCAAACAGACTAAAGCTTGCGTCGTTAACTCCAACATGTCCGACTAGATTGTACCAGTTAATTAATATAAATAAATATATATTTTATGAAAAACTTATACGCACATCAGTCTGATCCTTGGCCATTAACATTAAGATGGTGTCCATGAGCTCGCTCAAGAATTCCTTTGGTTTTCTAAGTGCCCAAGCAGGGCTGCTTATGAATAATCTAAGATACACACCGCCGACTACAGGTTCATTCGTTACAGCATCGATATTAGTCGGTGTTTCCGGTAGTTTCAAAGTGACATTAGGATTACGCCTTTGCATCGTGTAATGTCTGAAAAGAGAAATTATTTAAATCGAGACAGGCTCGTTTCGATTTTATATATCAGTATCAGAGAATAAAGTTATTATGATAATCAAAAAAAATTCTTACTCTTCTTTCAACTCTGCAATCATTCGTGACACACGGTTTTTTGTGTCGTCGTCCCAGATTAATTCTGGATTTTCATGTTTTGTCTCAAACATATGAACGCACTGTTTAGGCGAATCGCGTATGGCCTCGCTGAATAAACGTGGTAAGAATTTTGAGAGTACTAATTTGACTTTAGGTCCGGCCAACTTGTCGGAAGACATCTTTGCAAGCAATTCCGCTGCGGCTTCACGCACTTGCAAGTTGCTTGAATTGCAAAATAAGTCAAGAATATATATCACAGCACCTGGAATTTATTAAACCTTCCAATAATGTCTTTCACTCAATGTTTTATTTTTTAACTCTAAACACTTCTGCGTACCTTTAGCTAGGGCATCCTTTACAATTTTTGTTGTACTCATCAATGCACATAATGTTTCTAATGTTAATAACTGAAACTCCTTTAGACTATGCAACACAAGCAATAAGTGTACAACTACTTCATTTGCTGCAATGTCGTTGACACATTCCTGATTCTTTGTTACATTCGATATAACCTGTAGGGCACCGCTTTGAATAGATTTGCAACTGTTGCAACTGAGCAACCCAAATAGCAGTTTGAAGTGTCCGATACATTGCATCTCTACACCAGGATTATTTTTAATAACATTTTTTAGAGCCTCTAATGACATCACAACGTGCCGCAGTCTCTCTTGATCCTTTTTAGACAAAGCTACGCTACCTAGAGATGCTAAGTAGTCTGAAGATTTAGAGAGAAAATCAAGGAGATCGATAGTAAAGCCTTTTGGATTCTAGAACAATATAATTTTAAGACTTGAATAATCATTAATTATCAGAGCATTCAGTTTCTGCAAAAAAAAATCTGGAACATATAGCATCACCCACTTACCTCAATAGGAAAAGCCGGTTGCTCGTTGTAAACTTTGATGAATATTTCACCAATTATTAATTCACCACTGTGAGCTGTGTACTTGAAGTCACTGCAGTCGTGTTCAAAATCGGCATTATTATCATATTTTTGTTGTCTCTTGGACTCCAGGTACTCGTTAAGCTCTGCTCTAGTCCCATTGTCCCATATTAAATAAGGATTCGAGCAATTTGAATTAAGGATTTTCAAAATTTCTTCGGGTTTGTCTTTTCCAAGTTGACGCGTTAAGTAAGGCGTTAATAAATGTTCAAGCGCTGCGACGGTGACAGGATTGTGAGGCGTCTCGTTTTCACCTGTCATATAACCGCCTAAACGAGCGCATGCCCGAACTGCTAGTTTTGCTAAATTATTTGCGACTTCCTGTCGGTTCTCCTCCTCGTTTCTCTCGACTCCGCCTTCCTCTAACGTGTAATCGTAATTGAACATGAACAAAAGTAGAAGCCAAAGTGCACCAGATTGCAACAGTTGCATTTGCAATATACTATCCGTAGCTAAAGATGAAATGCATTCCGTAGCAACTGAGCACAGCTTCGTTAAATGCTGCAAATTAAATAAAATTTTCATAAATAATTGTAAGTATGCATATAGAAAGTTGAGGTTATTTACCTTGAAATGCAAAACTCTACAAAGATCCTTAACAAGTTGTGGCAGCTCGACAATCTTGTCTCTGCAACCTCTGAATGCTCCAGCAACAGCAAAGCATCTCGTAATGTGTGTACAAACTTGAACAGCTACGTCACCAGGTTTACTAGAATTGTTCAAAACCGAAACGCATCTCGTATATGCTTCTAATAAAACATCTAAACCTCCTTCACGTCTCAGTTCCTCTGCGTTTAATGCTGAGCAATGAACAGTGTGATAGGCAAGTTCACTGGCTGCAGCCAAAAGTGGCGCTGATTTTGAAAATAGTTGTTCGTCATCTGTTTCTAGTTTTATGGTTTTTATAAGTTGCGGGTATCCCGCGTATTTGTACGGCCTTAATTCCTCCATATATCTGTGAAATAAAATACTCTGTGTTCTTAAGATAAGGACAATGTTATTAGGATTGGGTCCATCAGTGGTCCAGCAGCTGCGGCTGCATAGAAATTCATAAGCTTGATTGACAGCTTCGAACTTATCCTGCAACATCAATGAGAATTGTAAGTTTCGACAAATCTAATCACTTTTTTTTTTTAAATCAAACTATCAGAAGAGCTAGAACCTAGGGTATCGATTATCAACAATACAACTTACACGGCCTTGTGCATTTTTATCAGGATGGTACATCTGTGCCAATTTATAATAAGATTTTCTAACGTTGGCTTCATTATGTTGCTGTCCACTTGGTAATCCAAGTACTTTATAAGCATCATCTACCGTCATAGCTGGAGGCTTTTTCTCCACTTCCTTCTTCCAAGCATCAAGCACATCTTTTAGTAGTTTGACCTATGGATAAAATTGTTAGCTGACATAGCGAACAATTATTTTTAAAAGAAAGATTAATTACCGGATCAGGAATAGGCCACTGCGGAAACTTGACAGTGTCACAAAGATGTCTGAGATAGAATATTTGACAGAACAACTCTTTCTCCAGTTGAGGATATCTAACAGCCGGAATGGCAATATACTGATAACGCGCCATCATGTGACTCCTTAAACGTGGTGAGAAGTCAGCAATATGCGCTGCCACCTTCTCGATAAGCACCCGGCGCATCTCCGCATTCCAAATAGCTTCCGGTGTATCAAAGTCACCCAAAAAGATCTGTGCAAACTTTTCTGCGCCGTGATTCTCCAAGTAACTGACCATAGCATCCGGTAAGAGCTGGCCAAGAATACTTCTTTGCATAATATCAGACGAAGTATTCTAGAATATTAATTATATCCAATTAAAGAAATAACTAAGTATTCCTCTACCAGCTACACTAAGCTCTACTCACATCATCTCCACGGAAAGCCTGTTTAGTGTGAGTCAATTGCAGGAATCTGGCAATGGGTAAAACATTAGACCCGGTATACATGAGTATAAAGTAAAAGACACCAGTGAGATAAATCTTGGAGACTTCGGGATTGTCCTTCATGACCTCACAGAGTAAAGTGGCGACACGTTCGACAAGTACAGGATCAAATGTGAGTAGAAGTTGCACAATGTGGGGCAGACACTGCAGATCCGACAGTAATCTTTTGACACGTGGTAGCGGTCGTATGACAGCGTTATCGGCATCCCTACTGGGAAAGTATTCGCACATCTTTATAAGAATATTTAATATCAGGGTGGCCAACTCGCTTTCGTTTATCACCGGGGTGCCTTTGGCGACGAGGGTCCATTTCAGCTGAGGCACCTGAGATATCATTCGCCAGCCATCTAAACCTTGAGCCCAGACCTTAGTCTTGTACGTGACCTTACCCGCTGCATAAAGATTTTTCAAGTCCTTTATACTAATGGGACCTTGTCTTTTATCGCCATCATTGTAATACCATTCTTTTTCCAAAACGCGTTCCTGCTCTGGTCCAGCCTCGATAACGTTTGTCTGGGTCGGTACTACTGCTCTTGTTGTATGCAGATGAGCCAGGGTCAAAAGATCAATCAAGGCGCGTACTCCATTCTGATCCATGATGTCCTTTACGTTTCTTCTGTGTAATATTAACTTGTTAATAAACATAACAAGCCGATCTCGCTCCATCCTGTCACAGCATCTGTCAAGCATTCCTACTATGTATTTTGTATCAGAGAATGGACCAATGTCCTCGTAGTAGCGACCGTAGACGATAGCCATTGCCTGGAGACAAAGGCACTTCATTTCGACCTTTGTTGTAAGCAGAAATCTGTGATAGAGGTCGTTGAAAAATTCGTATCTACAAAGATTAAGAACATTTTAATCCAACTGACAGACCTCCACGAGCAGATCCGAATAAATTAATTATATTCTTAAGTATGATAGATCACTTACGATTTTCTTATAGGACTGTCAGGGCTATCTTCCTTCTCGAGAAGTAACCTCAGGTAATAGTCACCGATTTTAACCTCGTCCGACAAGCACTGATATTGAACTTCGAACTCTCTGTGATTCCATGCTATCAGTGTACCACCTGCCAGATCTTTGTCTGATGAAAATGCACGAATCTCATTCTCAAGGGCGGTTCTCAATTCTTCCCTTGTTTTATGATTCCATATTAAATTAGGCAGCGCGTGATCCTGATTAAATTTGTAATAAAACAGCTTCCAATTAGCTTCGGATTTTATTCTCTCTCTACGTTTTCTCAGGACGATCGGTCTCTCTTTTATCTTTTCTCTACGTTCAATACCAACTCGTGCACCCCAGTGTTGAAGAGCATTTTCTAAATGCTTCTCGACTACCCTCATCTGTCGCTCGATCGCAATCCATTGAGGACTCTTTCTATTCTTCGATGCATGATCTATAGCTATCTTTAAATTATCCCTATTGTTCAGCCTCTCTTCTTCCAAGAATGACTCTGGGACTTTCTCTTCGGAGTCAAGATAGTTCAGCAAACCAACAGGCTACGCAAAGAAAGGCAGAATTATCAGACATTAATATGTGAATATGCAATAATGAATTTTGTTATTGGATAAAATGACAACTATAATCTTATATAGTTATCCTGAGCCAAACTCTGTTCATCGTATCATAAAAAATTACCATAATTCTCTTCAACAGTCCCATTGCAGTAGGATGTCCTGTAACCCACAGTCCCACCAGGTGCCTACAAAGCTGTCTATGGGTTAATAATCTTCCATCGCTGCCTACAGTGAAGAGACTGTTTAACAAATGTCTTGGTAAAGCGCCCTCAGCTAGTGCAAGTTCCTGCATCTTGGCTGCAATTTCCGGTGCTCCTTCCTCGATGATGGCTCGCATAACCAAACCAGCCCCTTTAACCACAGCCAGTGAGGGATGTTGGAATAATTTAAACAGGGATCTACCCCTGTTTGCCACCATTTCCAATAAGTTGTCAAAGTGTTTGCCATCAGTGGTTTCACTGTATGGTACGCAGAGTGCAAATGTTAGCATATCAAGCATGGCTGAAACCACAAGAGCACCGGTACCATGTGTCTGAAACATAAATTTGAATCCTTTGAGAATTCCTGTAACAATTAGGTAAAATGGATCTTATAATTCTAGGTAATAAGTCAGTAACTGAATTGATTAAATTGCTTAAGTGACTTTATGGGATCGGTGTAGTCATTTCATCTCATACTTACAACATGATTTATCCACATGTCTAGCAAACTTTCTAAGAACTTGTTGTTACTTAACAAACTACTTTTGTTCAATTGCTCCTGTCTCAGGTCACAGTCGTCGTGCATTGGTTGCATAAGGGCGCATATACAATCCATAGCAGCTTGCGTCACTCCGCAATCCTGCCTTTTTAGAGCCTTCACTACTCGATTTCCAATGGTTTCACGAAATCCTTGAAGATTTGTAAAGGCAGTAAAACCAACTTTACTCGCTACCAATCTTCTTAGGGCATGAAACTGTGCCTCCACTTCAGAATTAGTTTCTAAATCTTTGCTAATTAACGCGTTCAAGGCGCCAAGTATAATCTTGTCCTTGTTCTCAGTAAATAATCCCTGTAAATAGTTATTGATAACACTGTGCACTTGAAGCTGTAACGTCGTAACAGTCCATTCAAGCGGTTTGCTTACCTAAATGAGAAAGAAAATATCTTGAATCCTAAAACTATCTCAGCGTGAAGAAGAAAAGAAACAAGCAGCAATGCAAACCACTTGAGTGAACCAGAATTAGCCTAAACTTTCATGTAAATTAATTTTTCTCATCGTGTCCATTTTTAAATTTGATTCACAACTCTCTGTGAATTAATCAAGCGAAATCACATTCTAAGGTACAGTAAATGACAGAAGTTCATCAAAATACTGACAGCGTGTATCCTGGTGAACTTTTGTCACTCGGTATACCTGTTGAAACTTACATCTTGGGTAACAGAGTAATGCAGACCACTGTATGGAACGTTGGCATTAAATCTTTCCAAAATCTCGTCAAACGTTCTGCCACCAGGAGGTTGTTGTAAGAACTTAACATGCGAAATCTCGACTTCTTCGTCTACTGGTAAGCTCAGCGGACCCAATCTTTTGCCTCTTGCAATGGGATACATTCTTACGTGAACGTCACGATTACCTGACGCTCTGACACCGTCTAATAGGGACGCCAAGAGTGAATCCCTGTCAGTAGCAGTATAGCTACGCATTTGGCCATTAACATATTGTATTGTGAATAATTGGGGATTCGCGTTATCGCGAACAAGGGCGAATACGTCTGCTAGTGGTCTCAATGTACAGATATTATAAGTCTGTGGATCTCTTTCCAGCAGACAGGTATCGGAGAGACAGAGTGTTCTTCGTTGAAGGTCTTTGTGCCTTGGTGAATGTTTATGTACAGTAAATTCTGACACACTGGTTATGTGCTCGTCGCCGCTGAACTTGCCCAAACGCTGGGCGACGAAGTCATCCAGGGTAATAGGCTCCTTCAATGCTTTGATGGTGATACCCAGGTTGTTAAAGGCTGATTCTAAGATTTTTCTTTTGATCTCTTCCATTTGAGCTGATGCAAACAAGTGCAAACGTCCGAAGCCACCATAGACTATCACAAACCCATTGGAATAATCTTTCATCGTAAGCAGTCCTTCAAAATCTTTGTAACAATAACTAGCTAACACCATATTTGTTGTTGGATCCAATTGGTCTAGACTGTATGGTGTCACTTCCAATACGACAGGCAAACTTGTATCGGACCAATGATGTTTGTATGTTTCATATCTCTACAATAAACCAATATATGATTACGAAAGAATATGAATATTTGATAAACTAGAGAAATTGGATATCATTTAAAGAAGTTATTAATATATGTAATAAAAAATTCTGCTCTTCATTTAATTAATAACAGTCTTATGTAAATGTTAATTATAATGTTAATATAGTATATGAGAATCAATCGTTATTTTATATGCGGATGACTATTAATCTATCTGTTTGATGATAATGAAATCACTGTTCTCTCTAAAAAGCACCACATGGCTTACAGACTGTTTTTTCCTCTCTCATCAAAACCTAATAAGAACAGATATATAATTTGTTAAACTCACCAAAACTTCTTTCGGTTTTTCAGCAAATTGATTTCTAAATCTGAGAGCCTCCGTGAGCAAATGTGATCTATGCTCCGAACTGAATTTCATAGTATCATTTTTCCGATCCTTACGCATTGTTATACTAAATTCATGAGAACCTGCTTGGTTCTTGTTTGTGGGTTGTACGCTTATAAAATCGGCATACACCCATTTGTTTGTCACCTCTAAATTATTGGGATTGTATGTTGTTATTCCCATGGATCCAATTGAGAAAATACGTTTGTATCTGTAATATTTATTGATGCAAAGATTACTTGATATGGAAACTCTATGTTCAACTATTAAAAATTATTTAAGTAGGAATGAACCAGAGAGCTACAATCCAAAGTTGAAATGTATCCGATAACACTGACGTTAAGGTGTTTAAAACAGATCAGATTACAGATAAATATTATCATGGGTTTCAATGAAGCTAAGTATTCATATCAGTAAACTATTCTCTTGAAAATTGCAAGCTTAGAAATAATCAGTACAATTATGAGAAATATAACAAGTGCAGACAATGTACTGCAGTTTTTGCATAAACATAAATTATTATTGATAATGACTACTGCAAAGTAAAAATTCTAAAGATTGATGATAATCCTGAAGTAACAGATATCACATGCAAAAAACAAATGTAGTTCACAGTAAATTATAAATGTACCGTACAAGTCATGTTTCTCTAACTTCATTATTGGTTCGTTAATTCAGCATCACTCATACGAGGTAATCACGTCAAACAAATTTAATGCTTTTTAAATAAGAAATAAAATCGCGCGAGCATTCCTAGGTTAACATATGAAAGTGATCGAAAAACATGAAACCTTCCAAAACTTTAGAGAAGGCTATATCAAATATATCTAGATAATTTTATCAAAAAATTAGAAAACACAGTTTGAACATAATAAAACCAGTTACTTAACACAATAATATATTAAGTATAAAAGACCAAGTTAATACCGTTTGCGGTAGAAATCTAACCAAAAATAAAGAACAAAGGCATTACACTCACTTTCCCTTCCATGAGTGTTTTGTGACCAAAAAACACGCCACATCCTGGTTATCCTTTATCGGCATCATTGTGTCATTTCCTCAAGTCAGGCCGATGACACTTTGTTAAATAATAATACTGCGAATAGCGGATAAAATTATTTGCATCTGTCAGCCGACTGACAGGAAGTATCCATGTACAAAAAGTAGCCCAGAAAGAATGGTAGAATCTAGAAAAAGAAAAGGTGAGATGAACAACACTAAAATATCATCGAAGACTTTTATAATTTTTAATAACAGTGTCGTACTGATTAATAATTCTTAATTAATCGTTCACTATATTTCACCGCGTAATAAATGTCATCTCCCACAATTTATTCGTCTTGGAAGCGGCCATGATGTCGTGGAAACTGAGGGGTGTCAGTTGTCAGCTGTTTATTAGATGTCGTTACTGTAGAATTCCTGATTCAACCACGAAAATCATTATACCAATTTGACAATAATATAATTCAAGAAACTGATGCAAGGTAGTGGATCATGCTGCGTGTTATCTGATAAATTTAATTCAACAGCATGAATAAATATGTTTCTTTTTATTGAATGTTTGTTTTTCATCAGTTTATTTGTTACAATGACTAATGATTGTTCATTTCTTTTCCTCTGACTTTGTTGGCAGCTATGTTTTCATTTCATTAAAACAATATGGCATCGGTCTGATATCAGTATATCAGCATTATTCAACTTGTGTAGTTATAAATATTATAGGAACTTGGTGACTCGGTGAATGTGTGATTATCAATTTATATATTTTTGAGAAGCTGTAATATTTAAAGAATTATTTATTCTTTGGGGATAAAACGGTGTGTACTATAAATTTTATCGATGGTACAATTGTTAATATTAGATTGAAATAAATAAAGGGAACTAAATTAATAGTTAGTGCAATTATCAAAAAGTCATTTTACATGCTAATTTAGTGCTATTCGAGATTGAAATTTAGAATTCTTTTTACAAAGATTGTACAAATCGTATACACTAACTATGTCGGAAGGCTATGGACTTAGTGAAAGTGATGACGGAGAACTGAAATTGGAGTTTGATATAGACTATAGGGAAAAATTGTCCGACTTTCCAGAGGTGTTAGAGTTTATAAATAAATTACGTGAGCACATAAAGTGGCAACACAAAAAGATAAATAAGTTACACCACAAGCTTATAGAACAGGTAACAATATCAATTATTTGTTAAGATATAAAGTGAATTTCATTAATGAAGAACAATTAATTTAGAAGAAGCAGCGATTGCTTTCACGAGAAAAAGCACTTGTTGATAACGGAACACAAACAGATGCTTTAAATAATCAAGAAGAGTCATTACCATCACAGGATTGGACAGTTAATGAACCAGAAAAAGGAGTTAGCATTATAGATCAAGTGAAAGAAGCTGCTGAGTCTGCATTGCAGCAAACTGGATTTGTTTATGATGAAACATCTGGATTGTACTACGATTATAATACAGGATACTATTATGATGCTGTATGTATTTATGCTTAACAAATACTCAGAAATATAATCACTTTTGTAAACTACTGGTTATTGACAGCATACTTAATGTTATGTTCTGTTGCAGACCCAGGGCTTATACTACGATGGCAACACAGGAACATATTATTATTATGATGAGCAAACAAAAACATACAAATATCATAGTCAAACTCCAGCTGCACAGAATAAAGCACCTATTCAAGAGAAAATAAAAAAAAAGGAGAAGCGGAAAGCCAGAAAGGCAAACAAGGTTATAATCCATTTTATTCAAAACTGCTTTCATTCCAAACTTAAAAATAGACAATATTCATACACTCCCTGATACTTTGCCACCTTACATAAATACACTCTTACTTTGGAGCACCATTACTTATATCTATGCATCTATATTTCTATTTATATCTATATATCTACTTGTACATACTTTTCACATCAATTATCACTGCTGCTCAAATTTATTTTTGTACAATTTATTTACAATACTGACAAAGAGAATATAAATTTATTTATCAACGTTGAGAACTTCAAGACTTACTGTTGTACAGCAACCAATAAAATATTGAACAAGTGCAACTTTGTTTTGTTTCAGGTTTCGGATGAGATACATGAGTTAATAACTGGCCTTTCAAAGATATCAATTGAAAGATACAGGCAGCAAGCGATAGGTAATTATCCTACACCTTTAATACGCACACGTGTCTCTCTTGTAGGATGATGGAAGAAAGCGCAAAGTGGCGCGACCAGACGTAAATTCTGAAGGGGATGAACCAGAGGAAGGCGAATGTTCGGACAGCGATAACAGCCACACTACTCCTGATAACACGCCTGAGTTATCATCTAATAATGAGAGCGAGATCGAGGACGAACAAGGTGTATTCATTATTATTTTTTAACAACAAAATATTCGATCATCTAAAGTATTGCGCGTGTTCGTCATCGTGTGGCGTCACATCAATATATACAGTATTTAAAAAGGAATCACAGGCCTTTTACCCGACTGTATAGAACAGTTGAACGTTATTTCAAGATTGGCGCACAAGTTGCATGAATCAAAGTTATAAGTGATCACGATGTTTGTTCTAATGAAACTAACATTTTTTTTTTCTTTCCTGCAGAGATCGCTAAAACTTACCCACCGTGTATGCGCATCATCGTGAAGGAAACAGGGCTGCCAAAATTAAAAGTCGGTTCACTGTTCCTCGTTACTTACACTGGCGGTTCCATGGGTCGTGAAGGTGATCATGCTGTTCTTGTACCTGACATAAATATCAGCAAGGTAAGTAACAGACATTGTATAACACTATAGAATTATTTAGATAGTTTCATTTACATTTTATTGTATCTATTTCAGCACCACGCAAAGTTTCAATACGACGAGGAAAAGGGTCTGTATCAAATAATTGATTTGGGCTCAAGAAATGGAACAGTCCTAAATGGCAAAAGATTATCAGTGGCAAAACAGGAATCGGAACCCCATGAGATTGCACATGGTTCCATTGTTCAAGTTGGAACTACGAAGCTATTGTGTCACATACATAATGGTCATGAAACTTGTGGATACTGCGAACCTGGCTTGGTACAGCGTAGTAGCAACATTGAGGAGAACAAGACTTTGAAGAAGACGCAGCATATATCAGAATTACGAAGACTTAAGCATAAATTCGGTGTGGAGAAGGATAATGTGGCTACTGCTAGTCAGGTTGCCTGTGGTTATCAAGACAGAGCACAGGCACGAAGGGATTTTGTTGGCTCCTCGACTCATCATGTCAAAACACAACAGAGTTCACTTGACACGTAAGTCTTTCAGATTCTCTTTTACATTGAGCTACTCCTACTGTTAATAATGCAACTTATTTTTTACATGAAGATTAATACAACGGAATATTATTATTGGTTACAGATCTATTGCAAAGGATAACAGAGGTTTTAAGTTGCTGTCGAAGATGGGTTGGTCTGAGGGACGATCACTTGGGAAAGATGGTGATGGCAGAACTGAGCCTGTGAGTTTTGCACAAATATTTGAATAATTAACTTATCATTGTGTTGCGCTTCAAGTCAATCTAGCAGATCAATTAATTTGATTAGTCCATACAGTTTAGTAGTCCAGATGTAAAACATTTTAATCAAACTTCCGTCTTCCGTATAAGCTGATGTGGAAGAACGTGGCTGAAGAGGAGATTGAGTATAGTGAAGGGAGGCTAGTTAGCGCGAATCCGGGTTGGCCGCCTAGCAATCACTAATTCCTATAATCAGCGTTTCCCTATGCTGTACCAGTGCACCATAACATAGGATAATGATTTAAATGTCCCTCCAGGCTGTCGGGACAGTCTGTGGTAATTTCTCCTGTTCTTTTTTACGAGTTAGAGCAACTTTGCGTTGCCTTAACTGTACCTGACATTAAGTTCCTCTCACACCGTTGTACCATTATACTGTACCACGCAAAAAACAGCAGCAAAGTACAACCAACGGGAACCTCTTTCGTCGTGGAAGTGTTATAGTAAATATTATAAGAGTCATAAAATCAATAAGTCTGATATATCAAAATTCCCAGCTCCCAGATTTTCATTAAGTAACGAGACAAACATTGAAATCCGATTAAAAGAAAACGTTGGGAGCGCAACGAAATTGTTGTAAGAAAACTAAAAAATCATTCACAGTTTCGTGGCACTGAAACACTGCTCTGCCTCATGCAGGAGAATTTAGTGAAAACATTAAAAAGAGAAGGAAAGAGAGTATAAGAGAAAGAGATGGGAGCGGAAAGAGAACAATAGAAATGCTTGGACCATTTGCTGAAGCTGGTCTTCTGGATGTTGGTTGCCGAGCGTTATAATTTTTCAGTCCTGATTTACTTGCTCGGGATGAAACGACTGGCTGACAATATAGATAGTGGAACATTTGTATGATAACGAGTCTGAACGGCTAAATGACGGGGAAAGAGAAGAAGAGGGAAAATATAAAAAAAAAAAAGAAGAAGAAACAAAAAAAGAACAAGAGCAGCGAACGCGGAAGGTCGCAGCCTGTGGATTCTCACTCGTGCCCGGTTAATTAATGCAAATGCATTTAAATCCAAATTGTTATTATTTTGTCTAGACGCTTCGTATGCCCTATTGCGAATGATGGCGCCACCGGTGCATCTGGTTTTATCTCCTTCGTCCCCCTGCCAATCTGCCCTTTAGCTATGTAGCATTTTTCTTTAAATTCATTCAACGCATTTCGCGACCAACGTCCAAAATTTGCATTCTGCTTTGAGCTGAGTTTAATTATTTATTTTAAATTTCGTATAAAATATATTTTTCATAAAATTCTATATCCGCGCTCTAAGTTACATAAATCCAATTAATAGAAGCAATGTAAAGAACAAGTACGGGGAGGGTTACATGGGAATTCAAAAAAAAATCGCAATAAAATTCATCGATAAGCGTCAATTATGGGAATAGGTTCCTTTATAGCGATTGCAAATAATTTTTTTTTTTTCTTATCTTCAATGTTAACTTCCATATTGGCAATTAATATTGGCAATATCCTTCAGGAAACTTGGAACACGAGTTAACGAGTGACATCCGTCATTTGCGTTTATCTGGAAACGAGTGAAGCGTTCAAAAAAGATATTACATTTTTTTTTTATTTCAAATTGTCATTATCAGTAATTCTCGTGAGCGAGAACGATGGGAACGCCAAGAGGCTCGCGTGCTGATTTACCTTGCCTAACTCGTGTAACGGATCGCTCCAGGAAGCATGAACCATATTATACGTAGTTTCCTTCTTTCTTACTTATTTTCATTACCTTCACCCCCCCCCCCTTCGGCTCTCTCCGTGTCTCCTTTTTTTTTCGTTTAAATCCCACCTAATTTTCTATTTCTCGCGCAGCTGTTGTAACATCACCAAAGGCTATCCGATCTTTACGTTTGGCAATGATAAACTGGCAAACGTAAAATTACAACGTTTCGTACAGTTTTACGTCACAATTTATGCATTCATTTAATCGATGCATCGACACCCTGACGATGCAGTCCTTGGCGAACTTACGACTGCTGCAAAATTCTGACCCATATCGTGAACGATAAAAAAAGGGCGCAGTGTAGAACGATAAGTTTAAATTCATGCTTCCATCCATCTAAACCGGATGTGGATTTTTCTGCGTGATGAAAACGGAACGAAGGAAGAAAAAAATATGACGGAACTCCGAGCGCACTCGTGAAAAAGGCCATAAACCGACATTGTAAAGCCGAGAGTAGCGATTGTAAAGTTGCGGGATAAATAAATGTTTCGCCGATATTGCTATTCGATAACGTATAAAGTCGTGAGAAGCATTCATTTAACTGAGTGGGTAGTCGCAATGTCAGCGTGGCGCTAGTATCGACTATTAACTGTACTGTTTTCCTTGACAAAATTTTTCGATTTACTTCTGTAGTCTCATCGGGAGCTGATCGTGTTGCAACATTTTTTGAAGAAATATTCGTAGAATCGACGAGAGTGGCGCCACGTAGCGGTCCCTTTATCGAAGTTACGCGAACCATGAAATTCTTTAGTTCCCTCTCTGTGATGCGTATAGTTACGCGGGTTCTCGTATCTATCTCTCTGGCTCCGACACGGGAAATGTGCTTCGGAACGCAGTTCGAAGCTGCAACTATTTCGTTTTATGGAGTTCTCCTCGCATCGCCAACAGCCATTTTACGGTCTAAGTTCTGGATAGCCTCGTTTTACGATTTACACCGATTTCCATATTGTATTTATTCCCCATTTTACAGTCTCTCGACTGCCGTCGAAAGAAAGAAAGAAAAAGCTCTAACGTATTCGCGACGCAGTTAAATAACTGTAAGTAAGACCAGTCGCTCGATGCAAATACGCCGTGTTCTATCGACAGTCTAACTAGCTGTCACTGAGACGTCTTGCTCCTTATTTCTTCACGAATTTATCCATCACTCTCTCATGTCCCATCAATCATTTCTCATCCGTACCTTAGACCTTTCTCGGGACACACGTAGCTCCAATTTGTCAATCGATAAAGACCGCACGTGGGCAGAACCGACAAAGGATCAGATCAAAATTTCACATAGAAACAAACACACGAAAATAGAAACAGAGGCCCACGTCTTCTAAAAACCTGTTGCTCGGTTCGTACATATATAGATATTTCTTTCCCTACCAAACTAACAAAACAAAAAAAAAGTATAGAAAACCTTATGGGCAACTGAAGCGAGGAGTATAGACGAGGAAGGAAAAAAGGAGGTGCACGTGTGCAGTCGCGCCGCAGGCGGAACGACTGGATGCAAGGTCGTCGATATGATGTAATGCGAGACGAAATCAAGGAGATGATTTTCTTTTGTTCTCCCCCCCCTGTCG